ATATTAGAATCATAAGAATTGAAATACTGTGCCAAAGGTCAAATAAATTCATCGGCTATGATGAAAGGATAATCAATTAATTGCAGCGTAGTAACCTAGATTCTTAAACTACTAGTTTAAAAGCTTGAATATCAGTATGAATTTAAAGGAAGAAACGATAGTAGTACGATAATACATAAAACTGCAGCCTAATAATATTTAAGTCTTTCATGGTAGTAGCTTAAACATCCACGAAAGAATTTGCAATGCAGGCGATTACAGGTTATCTTACAAGGGAGTTGCTTCGTAGACTGCTGTTGCACAACAAGATTTAGTTCACTAACCTAAAAACAATAACTCTTTATCCTGTAAACGTCACTATGCTTCCGACCGCGTACTGTGTCTTTATAATATTGCCGATAATTATAATATATCGCATAGATGAACATGTATTAGTAATGATTTGAGTCATACACTCTTATACTGTAGATTAAACATTGCAGTGAGCCTGTGAAATTTTAGCTTACTCATCAATGGAATGTATTCGTACGTTTGCCTTATAGATCAGCACTTAACTGCTACCACCCAATTTTTTGCTGCATATAAACATCTAGTTGCTAACACATATTTTGTTACTTTTTTCTCTAAGACCTGATGCTTTCCTAATCCAAATCAGTATCACTAGTAATGAAATGAAATATTACGTGTAACTATGCGAAGACGCCATTAGCTCCGGGTATAGCTGTATGCTAGTTCTTGTCATAGAGTAGCGAATTCCGAATTTACTGAACAAACTTTATTAAAATTTTCTAAGTGTCTTTACTCCTGTATAACTTAGTAAAATTTGGTTATTTGTTGCTTTAACAACGAACATCTACAAATAGTTTTGTAATCGTCAATGATATCATCTATGCAACACCATGAAAATCTTCTCATTTATAATTGTCTTTCTTTACTGTAGCATGTAGCAGTATTTCGATTTATTTCCATGTGCAACGATTCTAAACTCTCTTTACGTGATATCTGATAGCATAAATTGATATTTTTATTTTGCAATAGCAGTACTCGTATACTGTAACAATTCTATCAAGTATATTCTGCTCATTAATTTAAAATGGTTAAATATAGAATTGCAGTAACCCAAAGGCTCTCAAAATGAAGGTGTTAAAGCTTATTAAAAGCAGAACTGTAATACAGCATCGTATCAGCAATGTCAATATACTCATGTATGTATGGTATATGATACGATCAAATCATTATCGACAAGAAATGTCATCTCTACCTTAATCAATTCTATAGTTAAGCCGATTTAATTGAAGATTGAAAAAGTAAAATAATGCGTCAGCAATTATGAAAATTACTAAAGGCGTAAGAAGAGTGATTTTCTCTCGACCTAATCATTAATTCAACAAGAGCATTACACTGATAGGAACTACTCTAACGCTTCTAATTACATCCAAAACACCCAGTTATGCAGTAATAATTCTATGAGAAAAGTGACCATACGATAAAAAAGTTAATTACCAAACTAATGACTCATAACAGCGATCGAAGAATAATTTAGTGGCTGTAATGTTAACCAAATTCTACAGCACTAGCATTTGTTGGTGTCCTACGGTTTTTAACGTAAATTTATTGATTTATACTATTTATATCACATTATAATTATTATATTTTAATTTGATTTAAGTTACTCACAAATATAAGTCTACTTTCTCATACTGATCTAACTAAAGGCAGGAATGAAATTACAAGAAGCAATATCCCTATAAACAAATTATTGATTTACCAGTTACAGAAGAATATTTTTCAAATTTAAGAATCACATCAAGAATTCTTCTAAAGCTATGCTTTTACAACAAAATATTAGCTCACGTAATATCAGTAAAATCAGTGTCGTTTGTTTAAATTAATTAAGTCTGCCTTGATCAAAAGAGCTTTTCTTTTAACTTACCCCCTCCCTATTACACTACAATCTAAAAATTTTGACAATAGCTTACTAATGAATGGTATACATAAAATTTACTGTACTATGATCAGTTAGAGTACTAACTAATAGAAGGTTACGTAAAGAAGATTTCGAATAAGTGGTCATCTTTAATATAAATCATTAGCGACTTTGTTTTTAATGGATTGAAGGAATTTTGATTTTTAAATATTGTAGAATAATCGCATATACTGAAAGAAATCTCAGTTCATCGCAAATATCTCTTCGAGTCTTTAAAATTTTATTTAAAAATATAAACGTAATAGAATGACACGCAACGATCATTATTTTGGTTACAGGTCTGTTTTAAACTATTAGACTATTAAAGTATAATATCTAATTCTGCATACTACGTAATAGGAACTTAACCAATGACAAGTATTCATAACAAATAATAAGGCGACGGAGAACGAAGAGGTAGTACGCTATTCAATTATTTGGCAGACATATTAATGTGTTGGTATTCAGAACTTTATTCAACAAATTTTACCACACGTTGATCTCAATTTGTTATCTCCATCTGTCTATTCTACTTCAATCATAATAGGCGAAGAAGTATAACAAGTGATGAGAGCCTTAGTAAAGCCGAAATTGAATTATATTGCCTTACAAATATGATTGATAACTCCATCAGTAATTAAGCAAACCCTCGGTTGTATCTATTGTATTGTTATGCATGTTATTTAATTACAAATCAATAAGGAGGGCCAAAATTATTCCATCCATATTATTTACAGAAGCTTTCAACCAATAGGATAATAACCAATTGATAAATACAAAAATAAGTCCAATAGAATGGCGTTCAAAGCTGAGCTATTTCTAAGCGATCGGTTTTGTTCCATTTGTCTCTCCTCAAATTTTCTTATTGGATCTATACTACAAACAAACATATCCTGATTGACTTAATGATCTATACTGTTACGATTAACTACTATATAACTCAACGGTAAGCAAAATAACTGTAGCAATTGACACAAATATCACCGAGTAAAACGCGCTCTTTATTATTATTACAAACTTGAATTTTCATCCATCCTTGCACACGGTAACTACCTTTCTACACTCTTTCTCTTTTAAGTTTTGATGAATGAAGTTAGATTGTACGTCTTTCTGTAATAAAAACCCTATTTTAAGTAAAATATTTCCAAAAAATCAGCATTAATCCATTTATCCGTTACATATTAATCATATGATGGTGTGTTTTTTTTTAATTTTTGCTATTTATACAATTTAATTTGTATACAGCTTTAATTATACATACATTAACGTGTTAAATTTCTACATCACTAATTCACAATCATAATATAGAACGGCTGCATATTAGAAATATAGACAAACTGGAATAGTTTGATGCTTGTTATTATTAAATTCTAAGATGTTACTTTCTTAGACCCGTTTTCTTATTATATATGTACAATAACAAGGAAATTTAATTTCTTTTTCTTACACTGGCTGATCTTGTCAGGGCTGCAGATTATATATAATCTGTTCGTAATTTTTTTAATCTTGCTCTATCCAAATTATTTCTTTAGAGCTTAATATGATTATTATCAATTTTTATTTAATCTAGATAAATTGATTGATTAACTGTAAGTCTTGTTAAAGAAATACAGTTGCTGCCATCTACTATTTATTATTCTCACTTAACTGCAGTAAAGCAAAAAATATCTGAATTTGATCTACTACGAAGATAACGCGTATTCGTGATACGTTACTAAACTATAAGCTATTATGATTCTATCTGCCTTTATCAAATCTAAACTGACAGATATTAATTAATTACTCTAGCTCACATTTGTTGTCATTGCTAACTTGTGACCTTTAGCAGCACTTCCTTGTTACCAAGTATTATTTCTATCAATTTTGACCGTATTCCTCTCAACGCTATAATAATATATCAGTTATCTATGATTTATTTAAATTAATTATCATTGGAAAGCATATGCTGTTTCACACCGAAAAATCCTTTCTTTATTTTATTATTATAGTAGACTAACTAAGCCAATTCGATAATCACTATTTCTTCTCTTAAATTTACGCTTTACTATTTCCATTAAGTTCTCCTTTAACGTATTATCGAAATAAAATCAGATATACCCTCATAAGTTAAAGCTTCAGACTCTCATATTCCTGAATTTTATCACCAGCAATATCTTAATCTACTAAATCTATTAGAAAGTAACTTGTAAAAAGCAAACTTTGTCTTAAACTATTATCACAAGCTAGCGTAAACATGTTGTCGATCGTTTTCAAGTCTTGTTTTGGTTAATATTATTTTATTGTTTTATGATCTTGATAGAAATCATTCAGGCAATTAAAGAATAAAAAATGTAGTAAGTCGCCACTGTTGACGAAGCAAAGTGATTCTACTGTACGGTAGCAGAATGAGTAAGGCGTTAATTACAGCCTTATACAATAGTCAGTCTACGCTATTGTAAATTTCACATTGGTGGGATAGACCAGTTTTCAGTTATTACTTTCCATCCATGTACAGTAAGCTTTTTCACTCTATTTAAAAATAGATATTAAACTTGTATTTATAACTTAACAGAGGATATTTTTATTAATTACTAAAACATCGACAAAATGACAGATATTTTCCATTTCTTTGTTAATTTTTAGCTTCCTTGTAGCGTAAGAATACCAGTGTATTTATGTTTTGGCTCTTTATTGCTTAAGATCCTTGGAAACCGAGAAATATTATAGGTATGCGAATAGGACAAAAATGACAGAACACATGATGATTTTATTGAGCTGTTTATAATCATTTTAACATTTTAATTTATGACAACGATAAGGAATAGGAAGTTAGTATGCTTAATTGTGTTTTTAAAATTTTCCTCTCTTTTTAGTTGACTTGTGGTCATAGAAAACAACTTTTTGATTAGTATAAAAACGACACAATTAGAAGTCCTGCGAATATTTTCATCTACGATCTGAGCTGATGAGCAAACATTTGAAATTACTGTACTCGATATTGAGGAGTAAGAGCCTGATTGGAAAGAAATAGATTTTTAATATAGTTTCCAGTAGTATGAGTGTGAATACCAATCCAATAACTCCAACGTTTGAAAATTCTTTTCGAATGGCTACCAATGCCCATATTAGTCGCAACGATCGATCCCCATATTGTTCGCAGCAGGAATCCTCAGACCATGATGATAATAATGCCAGTAAGCAGGCTAATCTCAATATAGGGATTTATGGTCATAGTAGCAACAACAGTAGTCCTTCACTTTCTCAATATCACCATTTGCAAAGTAATAAGTTGGAAAATGGTGATGACGAGCCAATATCAGCAGCCGCAGTAACACCAACAGCGCAAAATGGCAGTAACATCGTCAAAAAGAATAGTAAAAAATTACCTAAATTAACCGGCCTTTTCAGCAACAATTCTCACAGTAAAGATGACTTAGAGACTTTGAATGAACAAGATCGAGATCAGTTCAATATTGTAGTAGATGGCAATGATATCAAGCGTACACAGTCTGCTGGACAAAGTTCATTGGAAGAAAAGGTTAAAAGCAGTAAATTCAAACGAAGCAAGAATCGCAGTGGTAGTAGTAAGAACCACGAGGTTAGTAACATATTTCTATTTGATCAACGCGTAATCTCCTTTAATCAGGCATATTCAGAATAAATTTATCTCTATATGATACCTACCGTTGACGACATGGCATTATTTTACTCATTTTTGAATGTACTACGATGTAATACTTACATTATGTAAGCCATAGTGAAAGAACAGGATTTATCATAGTAAATCGAGGAATATGGTAGCGTTCATAATTGGTGGATGTTATTGATCAGTGGATACTTTAATTTAAAGGTGTCATTAATCGTGATTTTTGGTTTATTCACACCTTTTAAACGCTACAAAGACAATTTATAGCATGATGTAGATAAGATTTTTAATTTCATTTTAATTATTCTACTAGTCACTTTGTTATTTTACACAAATCTATATTATAAAGGGCAATTTCTATTTACCATGATTTATCCTCAGTTAAAATATTTGCTTCGCCATGTTTAATAGCTCTTCTTTTCAGTATGAGTTTCGATATCTTACCATCATTAAGTTACGAACCAAAATAGTAGTCTGAATGTAAATTGAAAGCATCGGAATCCTGCAGTTTGCCTTACTCGATCAGTTTAAATATCTTGCTAAAAAGTATTTAAATACTTTCTTGTCCACCACTATTCAAGTCCGGAAGACCTTTGAAGTATACTGCAATACGTGATAGTACGCGGGAAGTTTTTATGTACGCGTACTAATAAATTGATATCGGTAGCTTGAAGAAATTTGTTATAAAGTAATCGTAAAGCTAAAATATTCTATTGATATAGTAAAAGATTCGATCAAATAAATGTAGCATTGAAAGCTATTAGCCGCTACAATCAAGAACAGTTCTAATAATTACCGTAGTTTAGCATTCCCTCCCCTCCCCATTTTTATATCTATGAATGAACTACGATCTTGGCCGCCATAAAAAACTCTGAATTAATCATATGACTGTAGGCGCGTGTATACGACCACGCTATCGTGCTCGTAAAACATCCATGAAATGATAAACAGATACACATCAACTTTCAAACTAGCAGTCCAAGCATATTGGAACCAAAATCATAAATCATTCTCAGGCATCGTTAAAAAAATGTTAAATGACATACATTACTCAGTGTCCATTACATATGTCAAACAGTATATAAATGCAGGTTATACATATATTTTGCGGATCATTAACAAACAAGCCAAATAGATGCCGTTATCATTGAGTACATAACTCTGATAATGAACGAGTAATGCAGTATATCATAAGTAAGACTGAAACACCTTCATGGACTGCTAGTAACTATAATTTTTCATGGCTTAATCAAGTAATTTAGAATTATATCGCGTTAGGACAATAAATTATAATGATATAAGTTCAATATCTCTACTAAATTAGCATGATATCATGTTTCTTGGTTTATCTTTTTTTATCTACGTTGATTGCATTTATTTCATACACCCGACTGGAATTATCCCGATAGGAGTAAACCTACGGTGAAATGTGATATATAAATTTCACGCAGTTCCGTTACCATGCGAATGATTAATTATTTTGCAATCGACTACATTAAAATATTCGGATATTACGAATTAAAATTTAAATAAATCGTTGAAATATAAACATTCTCAGTTTTAATCTTAGATTAGCAATAGACCAAGGTAGTTTCTTATATGACTTAAACAGTTATGAGCGTCCAGACAACCGCGAATAGGTGATAAGACTTGGGTTCCATATAATTCATCAAGTTCTTAGCTTATATCGCGGAATGATGCGTACTATTGTAAGTGTTTTGTAGTATTTTAATATGACAGATGTTTATCAAAATCAAATAAGATTCATAACTTTCTAACACTAGCCACTATCGTGATGAATAGTAATATCCCATTCTAACGTTTTACTATAATTATCGCTTCTAAAACATTATAATCAAGCAAAGGGTGTTGCAAATAATAGAATAATTCTAACAGTAAATACGGTACTAGGCGACTAATCGAACTCGTTCAGTAATTGCTAAGTTTGTTTAGCTAGTCGTATCACGTCTATTAAATATCCATAACTAGATTTGAGTAAAATAATGAATGTTAGAATGTGAAGTTTCACAGAACTATGGCCTTCGTTGTATCAGATGTTGGAGATAAATCTTGAAGAGAGAACAAAACGAAGCATTGATCATTTGTTAGAGAAAAACAGTTAAATTTAAAATAAGCCTTCTCAAATACATAACTTTAGAATCAATTCACACTTTTACATTTTATTTCCATTCATAATAGGAATCGTAATAATGCTATTTGAGTACAGTGCATTTAAAAATTCTTGTCATATAGTCCAGCGTTATCATTCTACAAGTAAAATTTTGCTGAAATAGGTGCTTTTTCACCCTTGCTCGGTTTTTTTCACAGATACGGATAATCATATCAGATACCGTCCGATCTTATCTACTAATCATTAAGAGACTTTATGCCATTTTATGCGCAATAGAAGATTATTAGAGTAGCATTTAGCGCTCATTGACGACAGTAAATATAGTATTAGATAAGATAAAATGCTCGCTATCGTTAATTCAGTCCATAATTATTATTTTACTATGTCAGCTATTTTTGATAGACACTGTTTTATCGTCCGCCAAAGTGATATTAATAAGTTCGACTTTTCATTGCCGTATTCATCTTTTGTTTATCTTTCTACACATGTACATTAATTCGTCAGTAACATATTGTATAGTATATTGCATAGAAAAGTACCGTCATTTTTTTGATGATCGTAGTGCACATTAGGAGATTATAATCCTTCAAGTTAAACATTATTGTTTACTTCTTCTTTTCTTACTACAATAAGAACGGCATCCTTCGGCGTTGTCCGTATTGTAATTTGTTGTTTACAAAAATTCCACAAGAGAGGCTCAAACCAACCAAGATAGACTTTAGCATTATTGGATAAAACAGCCCCATGAGACTCATCAATTCTTTGCCTCGTCGAAACCTATAATACGACCTGACCGAAAATTTTAATAATAAATTTAAACTGAAATAGTTCTCGATTTCATTGAGTCAGTCAAATTAGCTTGTGTTATAGCCAGACAGATACGACAAACGGATTCTATATATAAATTATCAGTTTTACGGCTTGAAATGTATGAAAATGTCATTATAAACAATTACTGTAGTTTGAAAGCTATCAATATCGTAAACCTTGATCTTCGTCCTTAAAGGGGAACCATCTGTAAAGTTTTGTGTGTCGTCATCAACTTAAACGTACTGAATTTATGGCGCTTTTTTTGTTCGAGTCATGTGCGATATTAATCAAGTAGATCCTGATCGTACGTAACAAATCTCATAAATTATGATTTAACGTGAAAATTGCTGGTGTATATTGTAACTTCCCGACAAATATGGAGCTTATTATATGCCGGTGTCGATATATGAATCAGAAGATCGCAGATTGCGACTTTAAGTAAAAATATTTATCATTGTATTTACTTGAGATATATTATTTTGCGGATTATGAGAGCTTAATTCCAATCTGTAAGATTTAATTTTGATATTGCCATAAAGAAATCATACTTAGATTTAAAAGAAGTTGACGATCAAATCCATTTCTCATATATCTGTCACCCAAATTATGTTTTAATATTTCATTTAAATTGATTGAATTATTAATGCCCTTTTATGTTCTATAATCATGAAATTTCCTGTTATTTTCTGCATACTAGACAGCTTACGTATAGATGATAATCATTTAATTCCATTTTTTATTAAGATTTGCAGTAAATATCCCTTACATTTAGCTCTAGTCAATGGCGATCTTAACGTAGATTGTATTATCATGTCTATGTATATATCCCCTGGGGTTATGACAAGAATGTTATTATTCTTTAATTGTAAAGATGAGTAATAGCCAACGTAAACCATGTCTACAAATTCCACTTTGTGAATTGTCGACCTTTACATTTCATAATTATACCATGACAAATGATGATCTAAGTTGAAATCCCGTCAACTTTGAATGCAGTATTACTGTCGTCAATACAGAATGAAAAAATCGACGTAAAAATAGCAATCATCCATCATCTTATCAATTTATTTATCGATTCAGTCAAGAATCTATCTAATGTAATACTGCTTATCGACTGTTACATGTAACTAATTTCTCATTTATCATCACACTCCATATATGCATATCATCAATATTACATTTTTAACTATGCTCGAAAAAATTATTTCTTCAACTATCCAATCTTTAACAAAAGCTTAAAACTGTACGTCTTCAAAACATATAAAGTGTTACTTGTAGCAATCATGTCAGAGTTATGTACGCTATTATAGATTGCCTGCTTAAACTTTTAATTCTTACATTAATCATCCATTGTAGTCATTGACCTATTCTATTTGTTCCCTTGTTAGTCTATAAGAAAACAATCACTCTAGACAAAAATATATTATTTTTAACCTTAAAAATATCGGATAATGAAAAGGGTGACATAATAATACGCAATGTTATTATACAAGCTGATAAATTGAAGTCTGTATGTCTGCCATATCGACTAGTCGATAAACGTCAACATGTTTTTGTCATCGCTATTAGATAATTTGTTAACATGACTATAAAACAATTAACTATCAATCCTAAATGTCACTTAATACAACATTAAAATCATTGATACTACCTTAAAGTTAACAGAATTAGATTGAATAAATTGTTTAGAGAGACTGAAATCTTTTAGGTTCTTATATAATTACTACAATAGTAATGGAAATCAGTACTTTCATCCAAAAGGACCTGCTATCATGATAACATATTAATAAAATATTTGTTCCAGTAATTTAAACGTCAACCTTCTCTTTTAACTCCAACGTTACTATATCATCACTAATACTGTGCTGATTCACTACTTACAAGTATAGATTTTACTGTACTACTCATTAATATACCTTGACTTTCCTGTATAATGGGTTACAGAAAGACGTTATCGATTCGACGATTGATGCTTAACTGGCATAATCAAATTAAACTGGTAACTTTTATATCATTATGTAGTTCTTCTGTTAGAAATACTTTGGAAATGATTAAAGTATTACAATTTTACATTTGGTACTTGACTGAAGATGTTAGCAATTAACTCTAATGATTCTGTTATCGACAGCCCTAAGAATTAGCATTTATGTTAGATAAGCTATACATGGTCTTACAAAGAATGATTTTAATTGAACTGAATCGATATCTTTTAGATATAAGGACATAAATTTTTCCATATTAAAATTATAGCAAATGTTCTATCCAATATTGCGATCACTCAAACTGATAAACGTTCGAACACAGTAGAGACTTAGACTTATTGAAGTTAATTATTACTAACTAAATATAACATATCCTCTATAGTAATTCATAAGTGTAGTACAAGCCATTCTACTCAATCTCACATATTATTCTATCTGTCTTTCATTTCCTAATAATAACTATAAGTTATTCATCATTATCTCAATAATGATTCTTTACTACCGTTTCTGCTCTAAGCACGAGCCTATTACCTACTTATGGATAAACTTGCAGTATCACAATAGAATTAGATTTTGTTAGCATCCAACACCAATACTATCTTTATCAACATGATACTTGCAGATGGTACAAATATTGTAGATTCTTTAATTCCAGTGAAGAATATCTTTAATATACGTATATGATCATTACAATATAGCTCATCCATAGTAATGGTATGATTTGTATAGTTACTGATCGAACTTATTTTTCATCTTTTTAATCTTGAATTAAAGGAAACACTGCAGTGGCAATCTTTGCTAACTAAATATATTGCCAATAAGAAAACAATCCAAATGCTTGAATTATGTAAAGCTGAAAATGTAGGGTTGAGAGATGCTGCGATCAAGATATTAAAAAACGATTATGGTATCACCGATGTTGTAATGCCTAAAGGTTAGTCCATTAGAGCCATCATGCTCAACACAAACGTGCCAATAGTTATAATCAGATAACTCTAATTATAAAATGATATTACTACACCAATATTTATAGAATTTAAAAATTTTACATTTTGAATTACGCTTCAGAAGCATCTCATAAGCGCTCATTTAAGAAAAGAATTTCCAAGAAGAAAAGAAATAATTCTAGCAATGATAAAGGTTAATAACAAAATTACGCTCTAGTATACAAATACTAGCACGTATTGTGATTATGACGATGATATAGTCTGCCTCAGTCTAATTTAAGATAAATAAACTTTAAACTTTGACATCAAAGTGCATCATAATACTAATTATGAATATATAAGCTAGTTCAAAAAATTTATCGAACACATGAAAATGATTAAAATCGAAGAAAATAGCTGCTACTTATTAATTTTACGGAAATTAAAATTGTAGGCAAATAATGACATTTAGCTTTAATAACGATTGAATTTATTAACAACATTTGCTGTATTACACGTGTCTTAAAATTTCATAGATTCCAAGACATCGACCAAAATTTTTACTATTCCGTTATCTAAAGTAATTGCTAATGATGAAAAATCCAGACAAGATGAGATTAATCAATTAAAGTTAGCTCAAAAATCAGCAAATACTAAAGGTGACGTAGACGCTGAAGATATCAATCAGATTTTTGCTAGCGCATCACTCGGAAGTCCAAAAGCATTTCGTCGATCACTAATTGCTGCACTAGAAGTTAACAAAGACTGTAAAATGCCTAGATTAAACCAAGGTCGCCGTAAACAAAATATACTGACTTCACCAATTATGGAAAGACGAAATTCGATCTTGGTTGAAGCATTAACCTTGCCCTCTTCTGACGAAAATAAACGTCGACAAAATAACAACCATCGAGATCCTGATGAATATGTTGTCCAACAACCTAAAATACCATTGATCGTTACCAAATCGATCGAATTTATAGAAAAAAATGGTCAGTAAACAGATAAATTTAATCTTTAGTTTAAAACTATTGTACCCTAAATGTAGAAGGATTATCGATATCCAGTTCAGTGATCAAAACGTATTAATGAATGATATAGCAACGACAACAAGTTAGTTCAAAATATAAAATCAGTTATTTTATACTCGCTCAGCTCATGCACTGTACTTTCATTTAAGAACAGACGATAATGTAATAAGCAATTTTTATACAGCATTTCATATTTAATAGTTATAAGTTACTAGGAACGTTAGATGATTTTACCCTATATTGAGGTATTAAAGTTTATACTAATAATCAAACTGATACTAATACAACACCGTAATTATTGGATACAAATACAGCAGTAAACCAGGAATCTTATCATTTACTCAAAAATTCAATATTTCCTTTCTATGCATTCTTGATATCAGGGTTGCGGGCAGAAGGTTTATTTAGAATAGCATCATCCAAGAAAAAGATTAAGCAGGTATAAGATCAACAGAATTTCATAACTTAATATCGGATTATTAAGTTAATCATAGAAAAATTACCGTATATACTGAATGAATTATTGATGTACGATCAATTGATTGATTTCGCGATGCTAACGTGCCTAGATATGCGCGGATCTTGATAATGGTCAACCGATACAATTTGACGAAAACGAACATACACCACATGATGTTATCTCCATTTTTAAAGATTTCTTTCGTTATTTACCGGAACCCCTCTTAACAAGAGAGTTATATTCTTCCTTTTTAGCCACAAAAAGTAAGTGAATCATGCATTATATTCGTTAGCATATTAATCACTAAAAATTTATTACAAACATTTTGCTTTTTCGCAAATAATTCATTATAATGATAAATTCTGAATCTAATTAATGGTTTTTCCTTAATATCTGTTCTAGAACTATCGCCGGAAGAAAGAAAAGAAGCGTTAAAGCTATTATGCTGTATTCTGCCAATTCCCAATCGTGACACTTTGAGATCTTTAGTGGCATTCCTAAATAATGTTGCTAAAAATGCGGATGATATCGTAACAAACGATGGAGAAAAGGTAGCTCTAATAAAAATTCATATTAATATCATTCTACCATTCGATAATATCGTAGTTTTATTCCGCCATTCAAATTGCATTATTTACATACAATATTTTCTAATATCTCTATGCCCATCTTTAAAGATACCAGGAAATAAAATGGATATCAGCAATTTGGCTAAGGTTATGGGCCCAAATATTTTGCATAAGGTAAACTTTAAATTTTTACTAATATTATATTTTAATATGATTTTTAGATTTAAATGTAAATAATAAACTTTCATTGAATTTATGTCATGAAATAGATGAAAAATGTTAATCAAGATTTCGCTGTCGATAGCGCTGATCGTGTTGATGACACGCCTATAGTTATTGGCATAACTGAAGATCTTATTGAATTAAATTCTACTCTATTTGAGGTAGTCTTTCTTCCTTACAGAATAACGAGATAGCTATATTAAGATACGATAATCTCTAAATTGATCTAATTCGCTGCAATCACTAATTTTTACTGTTAGAATTTACGAAATCATATACTTATATTTGCCGACAGATCTCCTCCAATCTCTATCGCAAGAGTTTCCTTGCGCTCCTGGAAAGGGAACCTGCCGCTGCCGTTCAGCTATTAAACAAGAAACAAGAGCAATTGCTTAGGTATAAAGATAAACTCAGTGATATAGTGGTATCTTTTGTTTAAATACTAACAAATTACAGCGACAATAATTTAGTTGAGGAAAGTTATATACCATACTCTGTCCCTTATAAATCAAAACGCAGATTATAACTTAAGGTATAAATTCTATAGGGAGAAAGAAAGCAATGAAACTTTAAATCTGGGACAGAAACTGAAACGTGATGATAGTAATACAAAAGAGACTGTTGACCGATCAGAACTAACGGCATCTAACTTAAGTTTGCCATCTTCAACCAATGCTGGCCTAAAACAAACTGAAATTATACCGATATCACAGGCAACAGTTAATGGTAGCAATACCGAGAGTAACCAATCGGAGAACCAGTTCCAAGCGGCTAAGCATCATAATAATGATAGCATACGTGAAAATCGAAGGCTTAAGACGACATTGAATCAACAGCAAGTGCAAGTTGGCAATGATCCAGCTACCTTAAATCTTAACAGTTATACGTCATCTAGTAGCAATAGTGAGATAGATTACCCCAATTCTTCTTCTTCAGTTGCTACTACTAATCCACTATTACGGCGATACAGTGATCGAGTTAGTGACACCAACTTATCAACAATCTTAGCAGCTAGAAGCAACGAATATCACGAACCAGCATCACCCTCGCGTCCTCGTGAAAATAGTGTTGGTGACATTAGTATTATGCCAACATTTCGTCATCAAGACGGACTACATCAACAAACCAATCGAGTTTCAAATCAAGAGCAATCTAATATGAATAGCAATGGTGGAAGCAGTATCGCAGACGTTAATATAACATCAACATTTCATAATCAAGACAGTGTACGACAACAAACAATACGAACACCAACACAAGATTATGGCAATAGTAGTAGCATTGTTAATAATGTTGATCTAAGTATAATGCCAACATTTCAACATCATCATGATGGTTTGAGGCAGCAAACTATACGAACATCACATCAGGATAGCAATCACCAACAAACTATAAGAACGCCAAATCAAGACCATATCAAGAACAGTAATGATATCAAGAGCAATATCCTTTCTCAAGATGGAATGCGACAGCAAGCTATGCGCGGCACTAATCTGGAACTTATAAACGCTAATAGTAATACCAATATTAATAGTAGCGCTAATAATAACAATAATAATAGTACTATCAATAATAGTAATATAACAACATCTAGTAATAACAATAGTAACACCAATAACGCTGTTATCGCCAGTAGCAATAATATTTTTAACAATGGCAACAATTTAAACATTATACCTACTTTCCATCAACAAGACGGACTACGTCAACATAAAACTAAAGTGCCAAATCAAGATCCTGTCAATACTGATACTAGTAATGGCAACTATAGTAATCGTAATAGCAGAATTACTCGCTCCCAGAGTACTAAACATCGATCTAGTCGTGATCATAGCTATCAGGAATATCCATTAAATAATTCATTAAATAAACCAAATAATATGCCACAACGACGAAGTTCATTCCAGTATCGTAATCAAACATATGACAATTACAATAATATAGCACATGTAGAACAATGGAATCGTAATGAAACTGTAGATATACAATTTGCTACTTCATCATCGATGGGTCATCATGAAGATCGCCAACCAACGTCATCACCTAACATTTATCAACCACCACTAGCTGCACCTGAAAAAGATGAATTCAGCCGTCATCATACTCAAAATTATCCTAATGGTCAGCCACAAGGCATACCGAATCGATCTATCGATCAATTCAATGTTGCCTTTAAAGCATCACCCTATCCAATCAATAATCGATATAATTCATCTAGTAATCATCCATTTGAAGGTGAATACGGACGTGCTAGATCCTCATCTAATTGTGAATCAAAAAATAGGTATAAACAACCAGCAAATACAAGTCCAGTAGCCTCTTCCTATACAGCATCTTCTCAATTCCTAGCTAAAAGTGTTGAAAATATGTACACAGTACAAAATTCATCGATTACCGGTAGTGGGGTAGAACAAACGCCTGGCTTACCCGCTGAAATCCACTTATTAATTACGCCAACTCATGGTGATACAGAAAGAGGTGCAGAAAGAGATGCGGAAAAAGATCAGGAATTATTTGAAAAAATGCAACACCAATTTAATATGGGTACTACTCGAAAAGATGTACAACATATTTCGTTGGTATAAATAGCTTTAGCTATCTTTGTGTTGCTCAAAGTGCATAAAAATGAGTGCGATATCCTCTTTTAGGGATATTTCAAAATTACAAGAGATGGCAATTGATCTGTTAAAAGAGAATGTATTCATCTAATTGCTAAGCGAAGAAAATGAGTCTATCATGTGCTTCGATTGTTGCATTAATTACTAACGTGATCTTGAATACGAATAAGTGCCATTGCATAGGCATCGTTATTATAAATATATTTACGAAATATACATAAAATGCGGTATATTCATATGCATTTGTAATTTTCAAGTTCTACTATCTGCATATAACATTTCTCCTCTGGTTATACAGTACATTACCTCAAACATTACTATTTAAAATTTTACATTGTTATTATAGACTAATACTGACATTTTAGTATTAAATAAAAATAATCAATAATTATACGATACTCATATACATGATTAATCGTCCAGTGCATATATAAAAACAAACAATTGCTCGGTACATTCAACAAGACACTACTTGAAATAATAGGATTACTATTCAAGAATAAGTTATTTGACACGGTATTAAATAAAATGCTATTCTTGAAGATTGTTATTGTTAATATCTTCTGTTTATTTCATGGTTTACTTGTCGATAATATTGTTACTACTTAATCTTATAATTGCAATTTAATAGTAGACAATCATACAGAAGTGTTAAAGTAAGCAAATAGAGGATATCAAAGAAATAAATGACATTAATCGCAATCTACATTGACATAACTATTTCATAAGAGGCGCTACGATATTTAGTTTGGTTTGTTAATTTTTTAGCGCTGAAAATGAAATTAATGACGTTACCAAAATTTTTTAATGAGGTTGTCCATTTGTCCTACCTAACTGATAGTCCTACCAATTTTCTGCCATTCATCGTTAATTTTATAAATATGAGTCGATTTGTTTTCAAAATAACTCTAATTTTACTCATGTAATTTTTTAATTAATTATGAAATGGGAATATTTCATCTCATAAAATCTGAACTAAAGTAAGGCATTACCACTTGAAGACAGAAGCTAAAAATATAGCAAATATTAAAAATAAAATCATGATTTAATTGATAATTTTTATGCAGCACATTAATGTCACAGCGGTTAGCAGAAGCCACTTTTTTTAGAATTGGTCTCATGTAATAAACTAACTGAATATACCGCCTATACTTTCCACTAGATTTTGTTAATTCGAGTCAAGACTATCTACAATATTTTACTATATGTGACTTGGCAAATAAGATATCTTGTTTTACTGTATACCTAAGAGACTATTAAACCGGAATTTTGGGCCAAATGTATCATATCTCTTATTGTACTATTTACAGTACGAAAAAAAATTGGCTGTATCTCCTATTCTTAAGTGCTTTCTCTTTAAATTTTGCTATAAACATCATTATTTGCATTTGATAGCATCAATTTACAGATCGGTAAAATTGACGTAGAAAGATCATGGCCCTCCATAAATATAGGTTAATTACATATTCTGCATAATTTATTATTACTTTGTTGAAAACATTCACAAAATACCATATATTCTTCTGCGTACAACAAATTGTCAAATCAAATATTTATATCCATAGATAACACCAAAGTGTATCTGTCAATGACATATCAACAGATATTATAGAGCAAAAATTACTACGTTGTCTACCATGGGGTAATTTTGATCATTAAAGATATAAATAATAAACAATGTCGATCAATCATCAGTATATCATATAATACTGTGCTTATTATCCGGCTTACTGACAATCCCCAGTTGTTCACATAATTAGTGTGTTTAATGTAATTTGACTACTACACATCAGCAAACGATACGCAAGTAATCGTTAATTCGTTCAACGTAGTAAAATCAAATGGATATTACAGGTAAATTATGTCCTTCTCGATGTCATACACGTGCTATATCTACAGATTTAAAATGATTTTTTCTTATTAACACTAAATAGTTCCTGATGCACTAAAATACGCAGAATTTTAAAAATCATAGTTATAAGCACATCATGCTATTTTGATTAATTACAATAATAATAACTTAAATTAGATCATCTTCCATTGTCATGTCGACATTTAGGGCAATTCTTGCGTAATCATCAGTATCGATAGACTTACAAAAGTAAATTGCGTATTTCAATTTTTCACGTAAAACTTCTTTGGATGAATATCGCGGAATTTTAAGTAAGAAGAAGCACGTATACGATTCTGGCAAGAAATCATCAGGTGGAGAATACTTATCTAATACCTAAGTTAACAGAATAGGAACATTAATTTAAAACATTGAATTGTAACAGTAGGAAATTATTAACTTCATATAACATAGTTTCACTGATATAGCCAGATTTTACCTGAAGTACAAAATCACGACCACGAAAGTCTGCTATAGTACGTGGTAATCTGGTTCTACCCCAAACAAAGCGTAGAAATAACGAACGCTCATAACTGGAAAAACCTTCTAATACTTCCCAGAACCATTGCACTATTGGTGAATCACTTTTAACCCCTTTAAAAGTTGATACCGATTTCAGTAAATCTATAGGTATTTCCGGATTTCCACAAACCATACGCTCTAGTTCTTGTCCAGTAAATAAAGACAACAACGGAACCGGTATAACCTTGGACATGCCTTCTCTGATGGCATCAATATGATCATCAAACTCATGCAAACGATAATTTAATGCTTTAGCAACGTATTCATGTCTATTTTCTAAAGTAACTCGCGAATGTTCACCGGAAAGATGCATTTCTTTACCACTAGCACTTGGAGTACTAAACGTTGGTTCCTTACAAGCGAATATTTCAAACTCTTCAGGGTTAGCATCACGAATCCACAACAACCCAGGCACATAGTCTTTATCAATTTCTGTGATATCACTAAGCGATAATAGGCGTCCGGTTAACTGTTTCCAAAATGGTTGGGCTATGTTCAGACTCAATGGACTCCCGGTACGTATTGCGATTCCAATTAAAGTACCCATGAATTGGTGCGATTGAGATGGACGTACTTCTGGATTAATTATAAAACAATCTCGATTGACACCGGCTTCATCGCGTCCATTGGGAGTTGGAATAAGGATAGGAAGCAATCCATTTTGTAATTCATCACATATTTCAGCAATAGATTCGGAATACCCACCACCACAGTCATCGACACTTTCACCGACAAATTTAACTTTCCATACTCGATGAGGTAGCAATAGATTATCTGAATTTGAGGCACATATTGCAGTACTAACTTGGTAAAATACAGAACTATCGTAGTTACCGCTGGTCTTATTTTTTCCATTGAAACGTTTAACCTGTTTTTAGTAACAACAATTTTATCACGAATTATGTAACCCATAAATAAAAAGTGCAAAAGCAAAATGTATATAATGCAACCTGATGGTTAGTCTAGCATAATGCGCACCGATTAGCCTATTCTAAAGTAGCAAAGTAAGATAAGTAACTACAAATAAACGAGTAGTAATTTACCTGTATTCTATTTAATTCTATAGTTTGACCATGCTGCCTATCCCTAATCATAGTAGCTTGAATAATCTTATTGAAGATATTTTCCTACAAAAAAAATTATGGTTATGTTTAATCGAACATAAACGATTGAAACTATGTAACTACAGTTTAAACAAATAACGCATACCTTGACGGTTGATACCAAAATATCTTTCAAAGCATCTAATGTTATGCAAGTAATGTCATTACTTGCCTCTTGACACAGATTAAACATATTGATAACTGGCGCTACTAAACTAGAAAACCGATGAAGTAATATTAAACGATTTCGTAAAGCGGGCAGTGGTAAATGGTGCAAATGATTAAATTCAACAGGGATTTGATTTGGCATGTATCCAATATCAATAGGGGCTTCTGTCGACCAGGCAAAACTATGTGCAGAACCACATCCTACTCGGTTAAGCTTCACATTCTCTAGGACCGTAACAAGAGTTGGCTCCGGTATTGGGTTCAAAGTGCCATTTCCTAGTTGTCCTTCATCGTTGTCTCCCCACGTAAAGACTTCACCAGCATCCGTGCATGCAACACAATGCAATGATCCGGCAGCAACAGTTACGATTTGTTTACCTTGTAAACAAGCAACCTTGCGAGGGCGACGTACATGATCATTAGTGCCATGGCCTAATCGATAGTAATCGCCTTTCCCCCTAAGATCAGTCATAAATCAATTGCACATATAACTTATAAATCCTTACTTGATGGTCTACGATGATGTAGCAACGTTATATTATTACACTTATACAGATTGTATTAGATTCAACTACCATGTATACAAATCGCCATTCTTTGTAAGAGCTACGGAAAACTGCGAGCCGCATTCGACCTTACACACAGCCATCCCAATTAGCGATTCAATGCGAAGAGGTTTCTTGCATCCATCACTACCACCGCGACCCAACTTTCCGTAATCGCCATCTCCCCACGACCAAACACAATCATCGTCGGTAATAGCAAGTGTCTGAAATGTATTAAGATTAATTTTTATTATTCAAAGAGCTAGCAAGGAATGTTCTAATAAATGATAAGCAAGACATATGTACATACCTGAGCATCACCACTACCGCAAGCTACATCAATAACCTTATAGCTCTTCAATGCCTCTAGTAGCTTTGGTTTCAGACAATCATCGCCATCACCATGTCCTAATCGACCATAACGACCCTTACCCCACGTATATAACTCCCCTTTAGACGTTATGGCAGCACTATGTGAACTTCCGCAACTAATGTGCACAATCTGCTTCCCTAATAGTGCTTCAATTTTTCGAGGCGTTTCAGATGATCTAATAATTGGAGCAAAAGAATGATTTCTACGTTATGCATTGTTGCTTTAGAATTCACATAATTTGAACATACAATTTATCTCCATGGCCTAATTTCCCATCTTCACCATCACCCCACGAGAAAACTTCGAAGTTAGACGTTAATACCATCGCGTGTCGCCCGCCAGAATGAACGGATAGTTTCTCAATTTTAAGATGCTGTAAAGGTTCGATTATCACTGGAGTAACGATGTTATCACTTCTACCAATTCCGAGGCGGCCACTACCACCTAATCCAGATGCGTAAACCTATATGTAAAGTATTTTCAAGCACAAAATTTAGCCACCAGCCAGAGTTGGAATATGCAATGACAATGCTATTATTAATTATATTTTAAGGCAATAAATCATGATATCTGTGAAATCTGAAATTCTCTGTATTTATCCTATAAATCTTACCTTTCCTTCACTTGTCAATATAAACAGTGTTTGCTCACCGCCTGCTACAGCTGTCGGTCTTAAAGCTGCGATGATATCGTTAATTACAGGAGATTTTACTTTAGTACCCTGCACACCACCTAGCTGACCTCTGTGGTTATGACCCCATACATAAAATTTGTGATTACTTCCCCATAATAGGCTCCAGTCGTCTGGTCGGCTGATCATAACCATAGCATAGCATTAAAAATGAAATTTAGAAGTAATTTACGGTCCGATTAATGTTGATAATAAAGCAGGTGCGATAATCTTAATTTGTGCTCAAACCTGTATAACCATTGCAGTAATTCTCTGTCTTGTTCGCCTGAAAACACCTTATGATCTTCGTGCAAATTGGAAATATCAGCTTCAGATTCAGAATAAGATTCGGAAATTTTAGACCTGACTTCTTTTAAAAACATTTCTGGAATTGGTTCCCTTCGAATTATGTTTAATCCTACGCGATGGGCTTTACAAAAGCAACGAAACCATGACCACTCCTGATCCTCTTCCGAAATTTTCTTATCAAATGTTAGATCACATCCAAGTAATACTAAGGACTATGAATATATTTTAATTACAAGATTACTAATCAACACAAAGATCATTCACTCAAATCTGCGCAACATTGAAATATTTACTTTGAAAAAAACACTATGAGTGAGCTGCTTCCCACTCTTAATGAGTGTATCCTCATAGGTATACTGGGAAAGTAGAGCCACCGGCAGATAAGATAATAATGGACGAAGGGGACTATTGCTATCATTCTGAAGCACATAAAACCGCAGATATTACAAAAAGTAATTGCCAAAAGGATATTTATAAAAGAAAAGCATCAATTTGTTCATACTTACAAGCAATTTCATAAAGTAACCATTAGAGGCATTATCCGTGTGCAAGTTACTGGTACGATCATTCTTAATCAAATGTATAAGTTCTCGTAATTGCTTTATCGCCCAAGTTCTCTGAGCCGTAGTAAGGGTATTAAACTTTATGCAAGCTGCAAGTAGCTTCATTATTTCTTTGATTTGTACAATGTTAGCAGTCTTCTCAATTAATTGATAGCGAAAGAGGCATCGAACTAGCTCAAACGAAGGCTGCCTTATAATAGTTTCATCTGGTACCGAAACTTTCGGAATATTTGATTCAATTACAGGACTGACTACAAATCGCCATCCCCAGCCACTAACGGAAGTTCCACTGACAAACTTCCATTTAAGAGTATCTATTACGAACAGCAGTTGAAAAAATAAACACTTCAAGATACGATAATTTATTAATAGACCATCAAACCAGTTGGCCTTTCGTCGACAGGTTTAAACAAATACAGCACTAGATGTACCTCCAGGAACTCTCAGTTCAGATAGCCAGTCATTTCCATCTCGTCCCGATCTCGCAGAAAGAATATTATCGTTTTGGTCCAAGATTGTCAGGAGATCATGACGGCTATCAGTGCCGCAACGACGATCAAATTCAACTCGAAGCAAGTCAGCGCCCGTTATTCTGACGATAGCTGAGGTATTACAATTTGCTTGATATGGATGATCACTTTCTTGATGAATAGGTTTGATTAGGACATCTCTCGATTTTGCATTTTCTACAACTCTTTCTAATTCATGAACGCACATATCCAATAACGAACTTGACATCTTAATAGAGAAAATAAACTGATTTACTACTATGGCAAATTATTAACTTGATAAATTAACACATACGTACTCCTAAGTAGCTGCGCCACAATGTTGATAGTAGGTTCGAGATGGTTTCTTTACCACGGCTACCAGTACGACCTACAGCGGCCAATCTGAGTAATTCGACCAGCTTACGGAGATTCTGCTTATTCATACATTTAATAAAATCATCAAGATCACTTGATATTCTGGTTTCTGCCAGGTCTAAAATTGGTCATTTAAAAAATGCAAAGGACATCAAATGCGGTAAAAACATTCATAGTAATAATCGCAGGTAATATTGGCTATTTACTTGAACTACCGGGTTCATAATGTAGCAAACTACTCGTATGAATGCTAGAATCAGATAACGCTTCAACAACAGCATCACGTGCAAAAAAGATTTGAAGGGATCGCAATAGTAATCTCAAGGACTCTATCTGTTCTTTTGCAGTCTTGGATATGAGTATCTTTGACAACGAAGGACGGTTATCAATACTAGATTCTGACTTATTTTTTTCGATAGCCATGATTTCGTTATCCTTAGAATCAAAGTACGGTCATAAATCAGATATTATCGCGTTTATTAAGTACGTACACATGACATGAGTATACCTTCATGAAACTTGAACCTAGAGGATCTTTAACACTTAGCATCGGAACCGGCACATATGAAACAGTTAACTGCAAGTTACCACACCAAGCAATACTGTGTGAAGAACCACAAGCTATGTGCGATATTTTGACTCCATCAAGTTCTCCCAAGCAAATCTGGGGCCTTTTATTTACAGTAGTATTACCATTCCCTTGTTGACCATGGTCATTGTCACCCCATGAATACACCTACAGATTTACGGATAATAACGTAATAACAATATATCATCTGAATAGCATAGGTTGAAATATCTAGTTTGAAATAAAATCTACACTCAAATCAATAAAATCCAAATCAGTAACCTCTCCAGTATCAGTAACAGCTAAACAATGTAAAGCACCAACAGCAATTTCCGTAATTCTTTTCTTTTTAAGTGGACCCTCAATTAGTTGAGGAGACCGATAATGTGAATCATTTCCATGCCCTAATCGATAGTAATCTCCTTTACCCCTGCAAGTAACATGTTACTAATGTTAAGTATGTAAGTTCCTTAAGAAAATACATATTCCGGATATACTGGGATTTAACTGATACATACCAAGTCCAAACTTTACCCGTTGTCGACAATGCCAATGAAAACTGTGCACCACACGCAATCCTACAAACATCCCGTCCGCATAAGGCGTCAATTTTTTGGGGTATGTTACATCCTTCACTTCCTCCTCGTCCTAGTTTGCCGAAGTCACCATCTCCCCATGACCAAACGCAGTTGTTATCAGTCAGAGCTAACGTCTGCGCATCTCTACTACCGCAGGCAATATCAATTACCTTATAATCTTGTAATGCTTTTACCTGTTAATTTGATGAAGACAGTAATACATTAAGGGTGAGAGCTAATTTTCGATAAAGTATTCATACATGCACCATTAAAACCATAAATTAAACGACTCAATTAGAATTACAGTATACCGTACTAAATTGAGTTACTGTTTAGATATTTTGGTCGCATCAAATTTAAAATCAGTACTACATATAACAGTCACTGTCTGCTAGCTAAGCGCTACAAATATTCTTCTATAAAGCGTAAAACATATCTATACTACATCCGTATCTATACTCGTATATCTATATCTGATATGTATATACCTGCTTGGGTATATGTAAAGTCTTGCTATCTCCATGTCCTAAGCGACCGTAATCTCCCAACCCCCATGTATACAGTTCACCATCGGCAGTTACCGCTGCACTATGCGAACTGCCGCACGCAATTTCAACTATTAATTTTGATTCTAACGCTTCTATTAAAGTTGGAGACAAGCGAGACCTAAGATATAATTAAAAAAATTCAATCACATCAGATTCAAATAAATCATCAACGGGCATCAATCTCAAAACTTACGTTACATCGCCATGGCCAAGCTTGCCATCGATGCCTTCTCCCCATGAAAATACTTTACCTTCCCGTGTTATACAGAGACTATGACGCCCACCAGGATGCACTGTGACTTTCTTTACAAAATGCATGTTCAAGGTATCTAACTGTACAGGTATAGAGATATTTTCTGTGTTACCCAAACCTAAGCGTCCATTTGCGCCTTCTCCAGATACGTAAACCTTGCCATCATATGTGACTATAAAAACAGTTTTAGATCCCCCAGCTATAGATACAGGCCGCAAAGCAGCTATATTCTTCATTTCAGTAGGAGATTTAACCTGTTATAGAGGTAGTCATTTGTTACAATGATAAACCATCATTGATATACTGTTAGTTGTAAATACATAACGTACTAAATTTTGCACATTACTGTATGATATTGCATCCAAGGTACATTAAACCTTAAGTATTTGTAACACGCAAGCTGTAATCCCAATTTAGTTATCGAAAGTAGATGCAAGTGAAATACCTGTATTATAATATCACTAAATAATTATGAAGATTTGTAGTAATAATTCTGTTCTTTATTACAAGTAGTCATAGCACCAGATAACTAAATATAGCTTTCGCTTATATGTTTACGTAAACAACGCGTTCAAGTATTAAATCGATCAGCGAAACGTAAGTAACATAACTATACGATACAAGTAGTGTTCTAACCGCTTACTAGAACTCTATCGTTGGCCAGTCTCAAATGTCAATCATGTTATGTACTTACATTAATACTATCGCTAACCTTAGAACCTTTGCAGCCACCTAGCTGGCCTTTATCATTTAAGCCCCACACGAACACTCGCGAATCAATATCGGTATTATCGATACCTGTGCCTTTATTTTCATTCCTTAAGGTATCATCTGATCTATGTGAAGATCTAACAGCTAAGTATTCAAAATTATCCGTGACGGCTACTTGTTCACAGGTGTTAGGAATGCAGGCAATGTTGATAGAATGTACTCTACAATCGATTCCATTACATTTACAATGGCGAATAGCAATCTCAATAAGTTTCATTTCCTGAAATTAGAAAATAGTATAAGTTATCCTACAATAACATATACCGTAAACTTGGAGATGTATATTGGGGAAGGCCTTAAAAATTCATTGAACTTTAAGCGAAATGTCATCAATATACTAAATCGTGCAATTACCTCCGACTGGTTTTCTAGTAATGTAATCCGTAAATCGTGTGCTCCAACTTTAATTGTATTAAGAGGCTTTAAATTCATCATGCTATTTCCACCAGATACAACTACAACAGAAGGCATATAGCTGCTATCTGACGGCTTGATATCAATAGATAGCTGATGAATAAGCAGATTTGCATTTAATTCCAATAGTATCCAGTGCTAATAGAATATAACAACGATAAAAACATTATAGTTGATTAAAATTGTTCCTGCCAGTGTCAATTACTGTTTAAAGTATCTACGTATCAGCACACAAAATCGCAACGATGTGCATAAAGGATAATCTAACGTACCTTTCCTTGTTTTCCAGATGACTGCCAAAATGTAGATTCTTTATCATCATATAAACATTTTGCCTGAATACTATTAGATGACACCGAAACACTACGAACACAATCATTCCAAGCGCGATATACCGTATTTGTATTTTTCTTCTTATTACGATGTGGATCACGACGATGAGCAGCAACAGGTTCCGAACTTGGATCTTCATAACTAACAAAATCGTGTTCATGAGTATTTTGCGTTGTAAAACACTCCCTGCAGTAATTAAATTTAGGACAAATTTTGCACTTAAAACGAGTTCCTTCGATTGGCTTCGCGTAGCATTGGTTACACCTACATAAAATCAAGCAAAATTTACCCCAAAATTAAACAAGTGATAGCTTACACAACCGTTAAATATGTTGAAAAATGCAGTATACTATCTTACTCAATCGAAGGATGTCGTGAGAGAATTTTTTCCACTTCATCTAACGCACCATTCCACCCACTTTGCTCAGGAAAATCAACCTTAACTTCTTTCCCATTATTAGTAATTGCTAACACTTTGCCAATGCTTTCATGGGTTACTGAACCCCATTTGAACTTTGGTGTTTGCACTGTTTGTTTCACGCGAACGTAGTCACCTACATTAATTTCCATATCGTTGGATCCTACAATGCAATTACAAGTTACAAGTATCAATCATTTGCATATAGAGATTAAAACATTTATTAAACTGCAAAGATGGTGTCAATACCTGTAATCTCTATTGGGGTCAGCTCGAATTGAATGTATCGCACCCAGTATGTGCCTCCGTTCTGCTGCCAAAAGCACTGCACGTTTAAATCATGTAAACCATCACAGTCCAGCTAAAGATTTAATAACAAAAAGAAAACATCATTAAATTTATATTATTAATTTAAAATTCTTTCACTAAACATGCCTTGATAACTCTTCCAATATCTCCTTCTTTAACTTCCTCAAAATCGGCTATGCAGCGGACTTTCATTCCAATTTGCACATTAGTTCGTATATACCGAGCATAATCATCGGAATTTTCAAAATCTGATCTCGTTAAAAATTTACGTATTTCAATTAATCTGGATGCTTTAGTATCAGAGTCGTCCGAACTTTCTATCGTTTCTGCAGTTGACTCGCTTTCAAATGCTGTATAACTGGAATCGGAATCAGTAGCTAGAATTCATAGCAATAAATTAAGATAAATATCAATAAGAAAGTGAAAAAACACACCATTATGACGAACACATACAATCAGAACTTGATTTCCCATCAGGAGCAATGTTTCCATGTTCAATTAACCAGTTAACCAGGGCTTCAATCAGATTTCCTCGTCTACTGTCTGCTAATCTATCGACGTCATTTATAGCCGAATAGGCCATTTCTACTTTGGATTTTGAAAATCCCATTTCCATTAACTTTTTACTTATATTCGATGGCGGAGCTTCATTACTATTCTTACGGTTAGTTGTTCTATGAACCACAGCTCTATTACGATTTGCTATTTTATCAGCAGATAATTTATTCCTTTTAAAAACTTTACTAGCCAAACAATGGCACACAGATAGTAAGGCAGCCTGAAAAAGTAGATATACAAATCCTTACATAAAATATTTCAACAATACATAGCATTTTAATGTGTGGATAATACCTCAATTTCGTCTCTGTTAAACGTAGCTTTAATTGGTAATGGGACAATCGCTGTATCAAGAAATTGCTGTAACAGGAACGTTCCTTGCACATCTTCCAACTGTTTGTTAGTATTATCTACGAGACCTTGCATTAGCAGTCGTCGAAAATAATCACGTGCACCAAATAATACTTTTAAAGATTTCAGTAAAGCCATCCAAATTTGAGTACGTGTAAGCTCGTGAGGTGACAAATCACGCACTCCACTAATAGTGCCATCACTTTCTAATGTAACAATTCATTAACTTTATCAGCTCGTATATAAGCGAATGTAATACATTACTACTAATACCATGACACTATGCTCTCAAAAATCGACTAATTAATGATAAAAGAATTATTACCTGTAAAATTTTTTTCTGAAATAACTAACTTTAGGAGTGTCATCCATGCATTTGAAGTTGCTTCGGTGACAAAAAATTGTTCAATGCTGAAGACCTGCATTGGTTGCTATAATAAACGAAATTAAGACAGTTCTGAGGATTAACTAAATTTACAGGACTAATGTATTTAGTATAATTAAACAAAATTAAGCCTTCGTTAAATTACTTCTTAATGTTGTAAATACAATTCTAGTAATTAAATAACAGCCCAGCACCCCAAAATTCACTTACCGTTTTCAAACGGTTTAAGAAGCAGCTACGAGACTCTTTCTTATCATGGAACATAACAGTAATTTTTCCAGATGATGCAATACGTTTCACGGTACCCTTCCCATGCTCAGAATGAACAACTGTTCCTCCCAGTCGTATCCGACAATCTACTCCACCAATCACCGATAATGCTGCCAAAGCCATAATAGTTACACTTTTTTTATCTTCCGAATCTGGCTCTGAAACATTCTAATTATAGATGATTCTTATAAGAGTTAATACATTTTTAATGTAATGATGAGAATGCGATTGAAATTTACCAATGTAACACTTTTCTCGAGAGCGACAGGAACCATACTTAATTTCGTGCATATAAAATTGTTGATGTGAATATTCCAGTATGGTAAAAAGTGCAAAGATCTGATTAATGAGACTAATTCTTCCGCTATTGTCGTATTATATAATGCGGACAACGAAGCTACAGGTTTCTTGCTGCGCTTGCCTACAATAAACATTTTAGCATGCATTTGAGCGTTATTATAAAAGCTCTGTACAATTAAGATTTTTATGAGCTACACGTGGGTAAGAACTATATTCTTTCGTTAACTAACGCATACGTACGCGATTGTGAAATATCGATCAAATGAGAGCTATCTCCTTCGTAGGAGAGCACATTTCCAAGTAGACTGAAAATATTCTCAACAAGGCAACGTACAACTTCATTTTCAACTTCAGAATTTAATGATGGCAACAAACTCTTCAGTAGGCGGATACTTAATATCTATACATTATTGTATCAATAATATAACCTTAAATCCATCGTATCACACATAACAACTATTAACCTAATTATACACAGTATTACAATATACCTGTCGAATTATACTATTCGAGGAAATGGTAATATTGTTCAGACTTTGTAAACTAGGCCCATTAGAATTTCCTCTCACCATCGTAAGAATTAGTCGTACATTTTTTGGAGAGCTTAAAGCCTTACACATTGATGTAGATACTGCAATACTGCGTATAAAGCCTAACGAAGCCCAAGATTGAGCCGATGTTTTTTGTTGATCGAACAATCCTGTGCAATAAAGGACCATTAGTTACAAGATTTTAATATTTCCATAAATCGATCGATTAAATGCGATACAGGTAACTACTACAGTACAAAATAAAATCTACCGATCTTTCTTAAAATATATTCGATAACAGACCATAACCCTTATTCCTTACCGCAGTCAAAATGGAAATTGTTCTCGACAATAGAGCCTATTAAAGAACAAACCATTCGCACAGATCGATATGGAATGACATCGGCAAAAATACCGGTAGAGATAGAAATTATCCGAAGTAGATTTAAACATGATCTATGTATTAAATCCTTTACACTATCGGAATGCTTTTTTCTCAAGTCTATGAAAATAAATCACTTTGTTAATATCCGGTATACAAATTAGTATAATCTTATCAGCAACAAGTGATAACAGTTTAGAATTTTACTATCAACAGACCCCCACTATCCCTGCTGTGCGCTTCCTCTTCTTCTTCATCAGTGATGTTTCCACCAATGCTAGACTGCGCTAACTTTAGATCGTACTTGCTTTCTTTTCCCATTCTATATGAGTTTGTATTACCATTATCCCATTGAGCACGAATCCATCCGTCATCTCCAAGTTCATCTACAATAGTTCCTAAGCCGGTGGGTCCTCCATCCTATTTAAACATCGCAGTAAAAGTATTAATAATCAAAGAGTAGTTATCATACGTAAATAATTATTGGTATCGCTTCAAAACCTTCAAAATACAATAGATGATACTACTGTATATAGCCTCGTCAAATCTCGTAGAAATATACAATATATCATATAAAAGTAGCACCTGATCTCCCCATTTCCAATCTGGACCACGAACTACTCTAGTTCCTTTGGTCATTAATTTTGCCATCTCAGGGCCAGATAAGTTGATGGGAACAGAAGGACGAAATGCAATAACGTTCTCTTCTACGGCTGCAACAGCATTTTCGTTAACCTCTTTATCATTGTTGGACAGCTGCGGTCCCAGGGAATTAAGAATAGACTAAAAGTAAAAAAACATGCGAACATTATACGGTCATAAGTAAAAACTATCATATTCACTATCTAAGTAATCATCTATTATCCTAGCCATATGTAAAGCGCTACATTGCGTAAATTACCTGAGTGAGTGCTAAAACACCTGAATCTAAGCAAAGGCTTAAGTCAATCGAATATAATTCGGAAGAGAGAATGCTGAAATAGCTTAATATATATCGAAAATGAGAGAGAACATCGGGAGTCGTAACATCTGCCGAAGAAGCAGCACCCATCTGAGTCTTTTCTACAGCAGTATAATAACCAAGTATACTGTCCTTTAAACTATTTATTGTCCAGTCGTGAATTTTCTCAAGTTTATCTTGCAGGTCAAGATGATACCGCGGCGGAGCTAAACCCGTATTTACGAAGCTATGTGTTATCACCATCCTAAACAATGATATCATGTCGGTAATTCTTATCTTTTCATCAAAGTAAGCATTAATTCGCATAGACTTTAGCTTACTTGTTGTAGGAATTATGCAAAGGGATACCCTGCCAACCACTTAACGAGCTAAACTTAACAGAATTTATAAGTTGGTCTTGCGCCAGAATAGACAGCATTAGCGCTGAACCTTTCAGCCGTTCCTCAATTCTGTTCATCTATAGTAAAAGTTGTTTACCAATTTCAAAATTATAAAATAATTGTCCTTTAGGAAATTGTTTTACTTTTCTTACTTTGTATATTTCATTATCACCAACACTACAAATTAAATATGCTAATCTAAGTACCTGTTGCCTTAAGCAAAATCTAAGCTTGGTAATATCAACTTTATCTTCAGATAAAACGAAGCTGACGATACTTCTAGACAAGTATTCTTGACTTGTGGTTCCGGTCGAAACTAATTGATGAAGCCATTTGTACTTTCCAGCTAATATGCTTTCAGCACTAATGAGATCGAGACTTGATTCCTAAGAATTGTAAAGCAGTAATTACACCTACGAAAATGTGCATACCAATATATAACAATAGTATTTAAAGATTAACCTTATATATGGGCGCCATCTCTGTTTCTATTGCTACTTTTTCTTCAGTTTGTGAGCTATGTTTTGTATCAACGTCGCATTCGGAGATATTTTTATCCTGTTCATGGTTAGGTTTGATGGGGCCTTTGGATTTTAATTTAGAATAAATCTTTTTCCAACGCGAGCAACTATTAGTTTTTCGATTGGGAGATGTTAGCTGCTTGTTACCTAGGACTGCAGGCCGTAAATCGTTTAACACAAATTCACAGCGCTCCAAGATTGTGGAGCATATCTCATCATATGAACAAGATGACTCTTGATGAGCTCTAATAATTGCACATTTAGCACGATAAACAATCTTGCAAATTTCTCCAAGAGCTGTTGGTAATTCATTCATACAGCCAACGGAATTATTAGCTGTCTTCCCTTCAAATCTATCAGATTCTTCCGTCATAGATATTTGCTCCCTCTGTATTATTGCAAGCGTTAATGGTGTAAGGCCAAGATGTTTTATTAAACAAGCCAATAAGATCTTTCCACAACGCTCCAGTGGATGATCGCCGGTTAACGACATTGGAGTAATCAAATGTTTTCGTTGACAGTAATTAGTAATTAAGTTATCGAATATTTTTACTTGCGTTTCATTGGTATGTCCATTCGCTAGGGCTGTTAGAAATAGAGTAGATGGGCCATCTACTTTGTTTTCCGTACTAGATGTATTTCCTGCATTCGAATGAACGGATTCATTCATCCCACCTTTAAAAAACTCTGAAGATAGTAATGGCCCATAGCATTCCTCCTCCGGCGTCAATATACCACTCTTTGATAAATAACACGCGTGTAAGCCTAACAAACGACCTAGAGCCCTTTCCGTATCTAGAAATATCAATGAAACAGGCTGAACTCCGCGACATTTCACGATGTTTTCTGGCTGTCAAATTCAATTTCAATTTTGCATTAGCAATTTAAATTGGTTAATAAAAATACAGATATGCGTACATAATTAAAACTGATTCAATACTAACCTCAGCATATAACCCAACAAAGAAAGCTTGCATCAGAGCTTTTGCTTCTTCTGAGTGGCCCGCGCTATCAAATACTTCCGTAGCATCCTTACCTAATACAATTTTATAAATAAACAATGAAAAAACATGTTCAGAAGGTAATTAACTATAAACATTCTAACCTGCGTACTGATTCAATTTCTCTTCCGAACAGGGAGCTTGTAGCATGAATTCACTTAAATCGTAAACTCTGCCATTAATAATGGTCCATACGCCACCTTCTTTGTTATGATTTTCAATATCTTCTAGCCGTATTACTGGAACATCTTCATTATATTTAAGTTCCTCACTGATAACCAAGACTATAACCACAGATTGAAATTTAAGATATTTTATTCTGTGCATTCAAATTACTATAATAGAACGTTAAAAAGTTCATTTAAAAACCTTCAGGCCATGTCATATCACTTTCATCTTCTTTTGATATATCGGATGCAAGCAAATTAAATTCATCAAGGACGTTGAGTAAAGTAATTAAGGAGGTTACTTCAGATAACTTTGATATTTTATCCGGAACACGGGACTGTAACAATAGTAGATCTATTACCAATTCGGGCAACAAAACACCTGAGTAGAAAATGGGAAGTGACTCCAGTCAATACTTATAATTTAATAATAATAAAGTGAAAAATTTCGTTCCTAATTATTACCAATAGCACTCTTAGTTAGGAGATCAATAATTCCTCCATAGAACTGCTCCTCCTCTTTCAAGATTTGAACAGCTTTCCTAAATATTTTGCAAGCACTGGCTGATAAGCTCGTAAGATAATAATCCAATAGCATGAGCGCAGCATGAAGTTCCCTATTTTTTGCAGAGGATTTCCCTATCGGAAACATTTTACGTATAAAACAGACGCTTTTAACGAACAAACAGAGTGATAAAAAGAGTTCACAGTATCATTTACATGTAACTGAATAAGAAGTTATCAAATTGTAAATCTTAAAAATGTATAGGTACCATTTGTTATTGATTCCTTGCTTGCTTCAAACACTCTAAATACTAACATACGCTGTAACTGATTTAGAAGATTTACAGCTACTTTAATGTCATAGCGTTGCAATTCCTTTCTATCTTTGCAAGAATCCGTCGATAATATTACCATATCGCTTATAACGATGTCTGATAAACTATGAATAAGATGTTTGCTCAGAGCTAAGAGGATACTATTGCAATAAATAACTTCACTATCGTTCGAGTGCTTTTCGTCATCGGTAATAGCTAAGTGCTCTATAAATTGCTCATCAAATCTACTACTTAATGCTAACGTAACCACAGATATTGCAGATTCCAGAATATTTTCTATCCCATTAGCAATTAAGCTATTAACCAATAGGTTAATCATAAAGCAGCGTCCGCTACCGCAGTTCTTTGATAATCCTTTAAATCATAAAACGTAATTGTTTATTAAAGTATACATTACAGGATAAAAACGTTGCAAAAAAAACATCACCTGCATCTATAATTATATCCGTTAACGATCTTCCTCTTCCTTCAGCAATTGGTAACAACAAAGGCCAGCCAGTCTGCAGAACTAATTGAGCTGCGTTTTGGACAGTAGTAAGAACCCCATGATTTGATGCCATATCGATCAAATGTTGTCGTAAGGATCCAAGTAAGTTACCCTGAGGATCTAAACCAATTTCAATTCCAGGTACACCATTGGTAATCGCAGCATGCAACTAAACAGAAATTAGAATATATAAGCCATGCAATGACAAATGCATCATAATTAGCTAACCTGCAGTCTTAACAGATTTAAAGCTGCAACAGCAATACATTCTTGCTGTTGTGAAGGCGGTGGCCAATCACAAGACCCATCTAATCCATCATGAACTAATGCTATTAACTGATTTAGTTTCTCAAATGTTCCGCTAGAAACCTCTAAACAGTAAGGCAAATGCGTTTCAATCTCTAGTTTACCACCAGAAGTCCATAAAAAATTCTACGGAGAATAAAAACCACAAATTTATATTTGCAATTTGAATTACGTCAAGAACAGCTTATGGAGCATTAACAGTTTTTTCGATCATTTGTTAAAGGATTAAAAGACAATACGATAATTTAACAGTTTGTATATATGGTTATTAAAAACAAAGAGTCAGTTTTACATAATAGATCTTAGATACTATACCTGTGCGGGGCCACACGCGACTCCAGCAATGAACTCCTTATTTATTGCAGAAATGCATGTAGGTTCCATATTGTAATTATCAGAACTTAATGCATACTTTTGAACATCACTACCCCAAGTAAAAATTTGGCAATTATCGGTAAGAGCCAAACAGTGAGAAGGACCAACAGCAATGTCAACTATATGATAATTAATCAGCCCTTCTACCATCTTAGGATATCTAACATGATCAAGAGTACCGTGACCTAATCGATAACCATCACTTTTTCCCCTTCAGAAATGAACACAAAATAAAAGTAATTCGTTTATCAACTCCTTTGCAAAATCGTTCACACTACAGTATTTCTACAAAGTGAGTACTGTACTTACCAAGTCCACACTGTACCATCCTTACCCAGTGCAACAGAAAACTGGCTCCCACAAAGCACATTTACGATATATTTGTTATGATGTTTTAAAGTCTCGACTACCTTTGGGACCTTACAACAATCACTACCTCCACGTCCAAGCTTTCCATAGTCTCCATCACCCCATGACCACACGATACCTTCCCATAAGACATATACAAATCGTATTATAATGACGTGTACATATATATTTAAAGCTTTCCTACAGTAAACAAAATCGTCCTACTATAAATAGAAATTACCGTCTTTATCTATTGCCAACGTATGGGCGTCACCACTTCCACAAGCAACATCTACCACATGAGACCCACTAAGACCGGCTACCAAAGTAGGCAGTAAACGATCTTCGCTGTTACCTGTGCAATGCAGTAGAACATTTGACATCAGTTTAATGATTTTACTATTTAAATATAAGAATTAAGCATACCATGACCAAGTCTTCCATAGCTTCCGCGACCCCATGTGTATAACTCTCCATTTGACGTTACCGCTGCACTGTATGTACTTCCGCAAGCGATCTGTGTTATCTTTTTGTTAACTAATTCTTTAACTAGTTCTGGTTCTCGTCTAGAGCTAATATAAAAACACTATATTAGAGAGGGAAATTCCTTTCTAAGCTTATCAGATTCTTACCTAATGTCCCCATGACCTAGACGACCCCCATCTCCAGATCCCCAAGAATAAACGCAACCATCCGACGACAGAGCTAGATAATGTTCTCCTTCCACGTTTGCTGCAATTTTTTTAATCTTGATATCAATAAGTGAATCGAGTAAAACAGGAGCCTATGAAGTAAAAATCATTAGCAAATCATGTAGCAAATTTGGATTGTAATATAGAATAAAATTTTGACAATTACGGGACTAGAAAGATGGTATCGATTGTACAACCTCACAACGAGCATTATAAGCCAGGGAATAAACTCTGCCATTATTAGTAAGCGCTATAATATTGTCTGAAGAGCACATAATCTGCTTGATACCCAACTCAGCAACAGTCTCATAAATTTTTAGACTTCCATCGTTGCTTTCTCCACCTAACCAATTGATATTTCCCCATCCTAAAACCTCTGTCTTTGGCGTAGAGAGCTGCAACAGTAATAAATTGGTAGCTGTAATAGTACTGTAACTCTAAAGAAATAACACGATAGAACAATACCTGATAGTTCTCCGCGGTTGGTCTGTTAGGCTCAGAAATTTTATCTAAATACGATAAAATTATAACAGCTGCTTGGCGAAAATCTATTAGAGATCTTTCATCTTTTGGCAAAGACAAAAATCGAAGAAAACAATCCGTTGGACTGACAATTTCAGAATCAGAGACCTATCCGAGAATTAATGACAACAAATAAATTACGTCTTATGCAATGAGCAAAAGTTTAAGGTTTAAAATGTCGGTCTAATATGCGTTTTGTTAATGCACATCAGTTTTATAAATTTATTAAAATCATACAGATGCCACAGTTGAATTAAAAATAGCAACTATACGCGTACAGTAATTAAAAATTCGGACTGCAGAATGAATTAATCTACGGTAAGTGAAAAGTTTTAGCTTTCTTATTATTGCTACCTCTGTAATGTTCTTAGAGTGTTCATCCTTTTTCATAGAAATATTCTGAAGCCGATAAAGCAGAGGTACTACAGGGGCCCTTTTCCAATTTTTCGTACTTGATCTACTTCTTTCCCATAACCGTAGAAGTATTAAAACTCCTTGTAAAAGACCCTGTAGAGAAGCACGCTTCATCGCCAATTCAAAAATTATAAGTAATGCTGTAGACAAATCATCAGCCGGAATATGTAAAGTTGATTTCGTTGTTCTATCATCACTACGAATAAAATCAAATCGTCCAATTTAATACTTCTTCATAAAATTTTTTTATCTTGTTACGAATATAACTTAATAATAAACTCAATGAATGGGGCCGAATGCACAATTTCAGTAAGTGCCCGAACTTGTAATGAATATTTTTATGATAACTTGACGAAGAATAAAGAGTTGGTAATACGGCACGATACCTTAATATAATAGAGGTAAAAAACTTCATTGTCATTTCAACAGCGTCGTTCCAACGATTATCATGGTGAGTTGATTTATAAAGACAACTATCAGGCAGCGACGTCAGTATATGCAAGCTCTCTTGTAAGAAATCACTACAGACATCAACGTCTTCGCCACTTCGCCACGTCCTGCGAAGAAAAGCAAACATAAAAGACAATCCCATTCGAGTACCAACGTGAGTTAGTAAGCTCATGCTCGATGTATCTTGATTGGAGTCACTAAACGCAGATAGAACAGATTAATTTTAATCAATTACAGCGCAAATATGCATGTATTACCCTTTACTTCAATAGAGGAAGATTAATCTTACAATATACAATAAACGAGTAGCAAGCAACAGCAACAACTACAGTAAGTCAATTACTATTCACGCATAGTGCTCCATGATTAGATCAATAGCTCGTATGACTACATCCAACACTACATTATCACTTTCACTATTAACATTTAGTAAGAATAAATTCTAACTTGAAGGCGTTGGAAATCCATGCATGGTTCGAAGCATCCGATATTTCAGCCTTGGGCAATTTCGCTGGTTTACGATTGTGAAAATTATGCATTTGCGCAGTATAGTAACGTTCGAAAACTACCATTCGCTGATAAATTCTGTTAGATGACGGCGTATTATTAGCAGCATTACCGCATAACCGCTGTTGCTCTCTAACAATTTGTTTAATTAAATCTTTTAATTCATCTATTCCAGGCTTTTCACCCCAAGTCCAGGAGTCAATTACTTTATTCACATCTAATGTTATGGGACTTTGTTTCTCTATATCTTCTCCATCTAATCGGCGACAAGGTCCACAGTTGCATCCATCATTAGGCCCACAAAAGCCGTCGCAGCATGTACATGTTAAAACACGACGTCCACAATAGAAGTGACCAGATTTTCCTTTCCTTGCTATGGCACCTGAACTGTTTAAACGTGTATCTGAACAAGCATCTGTTCTGTTAACTTCATCATTTCTTACTAATTCATTCCATAAGCTGTTAAGACCATCCCTTGTGAACGAATCCTGTATTTATTTCATAAATACACGCAAGTTACGTATGGCCTACTTGAAAACTCTAAAAAGAATCGGTGCTGCTATACATTGTAATCTAGAACATTTATGTAACTTCTACGCAATAGCGATAACGTACTGTATGTAACTAATTTCTCGTGTAATACTGTAGTGTAAGTATGAAGGATCATTTCTTGTAAGTTTGTATTGTACAGTACAGTACTGTATAATTTGAAGATTTTTTCTTTCGTTTTTTCCATATTGCGTTATTGTAGTACGCAAATATTTACTACATGGGATTTGATTAATTAAAAGACAAGAAACATCAAAATACCCTTTGAATAACATAACAAAATGAATTCATTCCATATCCTAAAAGTAGATAACTGAAATATAGTATAAACAAACAGTAAAAGAAAACTGTAGTAATGTTCACATCACTCTCACTTATTGCGTAAGTCTGGAGTGTGATTTGGCTAATTCGTAATTACGATTATAGGGGAAAACCCAATTCTTAGGATTGACAGGAACATCATTAATGTTAATGATATCATATTTGTACTGCAATATATAACTGCATATCTGCTATTTAATGACTCATTATTCGTGAAGACCGAAAAAGTTATACAGTTCTAAAGACTAATTCGTAAGACCATTTCACTAATGATCGACAGATATTTACTCTAGGAAAAACAGAAAAGTAGTCTTATTCCAACAAACTCAATGAATTATTAAGCAGCATGATGGAAGCATATTACACGGGCAATGGATCTAATGATAGTGTAAAAATGGATTTTTACAGTTCTGAAGTAGACCGGCACATTTATCAGTCATAACTGCACAGTACGATTGACTGAATGATTTTATATGTAGACGAACTATCGTCTCTCTGATCATGGTATCCAGAGGCAAAAGTTCATCATCAACGAATTTTGCCTTTCCTATCATCGATGATACGGCTTCAAAAAGTCCCGTTCATATCTGTTCTACGGTAACTTCTACCGAACTACTGTGCTGTGTGCAACTGTACATGTACATATGAGTAAGGTCGGTTTCACTTTTTGCTTGAAGCGATACGGTGCAGATTTTATAATTCTGTAATGCAATTTATGAAATGAACATAACATGATGCTATCGTAGACTAACTACTGGCAAACGATCAGTATGAATGGATTCTACTTCTAACACAATACTGATACAGGCCATAAACATTGGAATTCACCAACTAAGTTCAAAACTTTACATCTCATACATCGTTTGCTGCAGTAATCCACAATATTACCACGTTAATATACGCGTACATATATTTTAGTACATTTTAAATATATACAATATTTTATTATTTTTTATAGTGATTAATAATTATACTAATCTACTGTATACTACTGTACTGTCGTGACTATTGTACCGTACAGTACAGTTCTGCATTGCAGCGTCATCGAATGTAGCGATAATATGCGGTAATAACTAGTGCTACACTACCGTACTATACTGCAGTTAGTGTTGTGCAGTCAGGCAATAGATCCATTATTAATTTACATTACATTATTATGTCCATAGAACATACTGTATATGTACAGTAGTACATCTGTACATCAGTTTAGGGTAAGTAAAAACGTGATATGGAATACCTTTAGATTTACTTTCAGCCATTTCATATTTAGGCGCAACCTTGGTCGTAACGGACCTTCAGAATGAGACATGATATAATATTATAAAAAGAATCTACAATACTTTTGAAATCCTATCATCAAGTAAAGATTTTAAAAAGATTTTCTAGTTCATCATAATGAACTTGGTAACTGAAGTGCACGAATATCTAAGTAAGCGTTTGTTCAGGCTAAAGAATCTTTTCTACTGATGAAACTGCGCGATCTCAATTGCTAAAACGGTACAGTTTATTGTGGTTGATTGATTGGTTTTATTTTATAGTATCTCATACTGTACTGTAGTCCCTGAAGTACAGTACAGTACAGTCCTGAACTCATACAGTACAGTACAGTACAGTAAGACTTCTGCGGTACAGTACATACTGTACTGTACACTGTACTGTACAGTACAGTAAATTCCTTCCGTTGTTTACAGTACAAATCACTCTAAGAACAGCCGATGAACTTGCTAACTTGGTAACTGAAATGCATGAACATCTACAGTACAGCGTACTGTACAGTACCGTAGATTTCTCCCATTACAGTACAAATCACTCTAGAACATCCTGCCTTATTGTACTGTACACTGTACTAATCTGTGATCTTGTTTATGAATTTATTGATTACTGTACGATTCTTATTCTTACTAGGATGCAAATATCTTTCTGATTTGTGTCAACTGTTTGGAACGTAGATATCTCGACATACGTATACTATATTTTAGACTTTAGAATAAATAATCTAGTATTACTACACAGCACACATTCCCTACTTTCTTTATATAATAATGACAAAGCTATTGGAATGGTTAACTGTGAGTGCAGTGCTCTCACTTATATGGGCAGCTCTGGTCACGGATTCATTGTCATTTCAAGTGTCTGATCAAATTAAAGATGTCTTAATGCCAGTGAGTATAGCTACACTCGTTTAATGTTATTTCTAGCGATCCTATTCAATGGTATAATACTGTAATATTTGTAAAGTTCTTAAGCATTCATTGAGTATTTTGTAGCTTAAATTAACCTCCAGTGCTGACTGATGCCATGTGCACAGAAAGTTTTTATTGTGGCATTGTACGATACTACTCTACTCTCACTTTCAGCATCAGAGTTTCTCTAACTTCTTCTGTGACACGGACTACTACTGTAGAAGAAAACCTATTTTCTTCTAGTACTGTAGTCCATGTCTGCGATTTGGTTTAATTAATTATTAATCAAACTGAAATAGATTACAATACTGCAATCACTCACATACATTTCACCTTACACTACAATTAATAATGATAATGTAACTGCCGCGAATGATAGAATACGAGTAAGTGAGTAGTCACTATGCTTAACCCTTTGTGAATGGCAATAGTATATAGTATGGAGATACTTCAGTTTTCTATCTGTGATGTTTGTAGCTACAAGTGGGATATCATTTTAAGATCAGGCTACAACTATAATAAAAAATATCATATTACTATCTTTAGACTAACCGTATGACTAATGCTTACTTTACGTTGATCTTTTAAATCTGTAGCTGCCTATTTACCTATTGATTGTCTTCGCTGTAAGTATGCTGTAGATATTCTCGTACGTACGGTATGTACGAATATTTGTTATTGCTAGTAGTTTATGTATGCATACAATACATTGAGTGTAAGAGATTGTGGAACGCGTAAGGCCTTCAAAGTCATATTTATCAAATATCAACGCTTATTTTGCCGAATTTTTTTAATTTAGTGCAATAAATTAATAATAATATACCCTCGATGAATTTATCTTTAGAGTTCGATCAGTAAATTAATTATACTTATTATTAATCTTTCGATCTACTTTCCAAGTGCTATTCTTTAGCTTCTGTCGGCTATGGCGTAATGACTTTTAATGATTGTATTGAAGCCCATAATTCCCTGAAAATGGTAAGAGACTTACGATAAAAGCTGCATTAATGACTCAGTGTGTCAAGTCTGGAACGGGCTGAATAGACAGTTCTAACTCATATTATTGTAAGCTCTTCAGCATTAGAGCATTGAGTCAACGTTGTTGATATTACGTTACGAATTTTGATCTTGATCGTCTAGTGACTACAGGCAAATGCAATACTGTACCTTACGCTAAACAATAACGAAAGAGCCCACAAGCTGATATACATATATTCTCTATTAATATTTTAGCGATTTAGTTTTGGTAATGATTTTCACTACTTTTTACTCTCTAAAATTCCTGTTAATAAAAACTATCTCACGCCATTACCTTGTATCAGACCACTGCATTATAGTACTATGTACTGTACAGTATATATAATTTTATTACTTCACTTTCTAAATTTTTCAATTATTTCAAATATAAAGTCATTAGCATCTCTTTATAGGATTAATACTTCCAATTTGATATTTGGAGTGCAATGACAGTAAAAATCATTACTACAGTTTATCCTACAAATCGTAAAATTTCGGTTCTTTGTGTCATTTATTCTTAGGAAGTTTCCGAAGCAATAGATGACCTAAAGAAAAAAGGCCTGACTATGTAATAATATGAATAAATAAAATGACGATGATTTTTAAATATTTTGTAGGTATTGCTAATGTGTGAGATTGATTAATTAATTGATAAAAGTGCAAAGTACAAAAGAATCATAAATAGCCGTTTTCCAATAGTAATAAACATATAGCACTGCATACGATAGGTCGTAGAGAAATTGAGAACACCAAAGATTACTTTGTACTTGTGGGACTTCAGATCAAAACCTTCATTATTTCAGTAATAAACGTTTTCCCACTTTTCATAGCCATGGCGACATTTAAAATCAGAAATTACCTATGCACGATACTTTATTTCACCCCTATGTAAATTACTTTTAAAATCCAGCAAGTACAATTGTTACAACCCTATATCTTAATGCGTGTATCTAACTTACACAAAGTGCAGTACATGTATCTCAGAATTATTTATCTTAGTACCTTTGCAAATTTAGAGTTGTAATCTAATATGCGAGACTTGAATATGGCATGCATAATTACAGCACTGTATAACACTTGCGGCAAGGTGCTGGAGTCTTATCACTCATTCAATTAAAACCAAGAAGTAATGAGATAATTACGAGCTCCTAAACTAAAATTAATTAATGAAAAAGAAGCGTCTCATTTTAACGAGGAAACATGCGAAACTGATAAAATTGTGCTCTCAATGCAAGACCATGACCATGATCACTGATACGTGAACTGATGAATTTCTACTACTGTATATCATATCATCCATCACTCAGTCATGGACTACTAGATGCTAGAATACTCGACTTACTAAGATACAGTATTTACGGCAAGTTGGGTTGGGTTTAAGCAAGTAATATATTAGTCAGCTGTAGTCAGGCTTTGGTGGCAAGTATATCATTTGCATCAGCGGGTTAGGTCAGTGTGGGTTTGTTTTCTGTCATCGTTTGCAGAGCTCCGATGTACAGTACATTATACTGCATACAGTACAGTAGTAAAGTAAAAGTACTGTACAGTACAGTATACTGTACTTTACACTAGGGACCCTTACAGAATGTACAGTATGATTTCTTGATTTTCATCACAGGACGCTACTACAGTACAGTACACTGATGCTGATGCTGAGATTAGCATCAGCATTTGAATAAGACTACAGTACTGGATGCAACCAGAGATCAGATTACTGTACTGTATTATACTGTATTATGTAGTGTAACTTACTTGTCTGTAAGCACTGTACAGTACAATACAGTACAGTACTACACAGTGAATATACTGTAAAGTACAGTGCAACGCCTATTGTGCGTACTGTAACAGTACAGATTCCAACGAAGTTTACTGTAAAGTACAGTACAGTACAGTTATACAGTACTGCGCTTACATACAGTACAGTAGAGTACAGTACAGTGAGTGTACTGTACTGTACAGTACAAAAATTATTTCTACAGTACTGTACACTGCGCCATAAACGCAGCGTCGATAAGTTCGCCATATAAAGCTCTGCAAAATAATATTAAACATTAATTAATTGTGACTGTTCGAAGGTTATTTGTTCAATCTTCATGCAAGGTAAGTTACGTAAGATATAAAATTACTGCAACTACTTGCATAGTTATCAGGAAGCGACTGTGTCAACCTACTGTAAACTAACATTACTATACAGTACATGTACATCTTTCGCTGGTTGATATTTTTATATTTTATTTCTTTTATTTACGTAGATACGCGTATCTCGCTCTACACAGTTGTTATTCCATTTAGCTCAGTTTATTATATAATTAGTTATGGTTATTAATATATTATGTATTGGCAGGCCAGAAGTCTCCACAATAAGTATAGTATATCTCAGTTATGTTACATTTAGCACTTCTGGTCACAGATTTTAAGCATTTATGAACGATTTCGTCGTTATTCAATAATAATTAAACTTCTGAAAGAGTACTTCGATATTGCTAGCACCTTACCATACGAACGTTTCGATTTAGCGGTTTAGAAGTAGTTGTTATATGAGTACTGTAGGCTTACTAGATATAGTGTTTTCCGTTTAACAACTCTACGTCACGCCAAATAGTCATATCGAATAATAACCTGCCATATTTACTTCAGTACAGTAAATAAAATACAGTAAGTATATTACGAAATCATGAATAGTGACCCAATCACATGTAACACTCTATTGATTCCAAATGCAAAATGTCCGCCTCGTTATAGATTTTGAATATCCGTACCCGCTATATGGTACAGCATGTAGAGAATGCTAACGTGAGCGCAAGTTAAACAGACTATCCTAAATTCAGACGACCTAAAATGCAGTCCCACACTATTGTCACTCATAACTACTATCGACGTACTCTCTCTTTTATGATAACATCGTCTCCAAACGTTAATGACTCTGTAATAGGAAATACGGGTATCTACCACGATTAATAGTAGAAACTAAAAGCGAAATGTACTGCATCCTTTATCTACTATCAATCTAATCGTTTCATTTTCTAGTATTAATGCACACACATACATAGGTACATAGATTGATAGATATTCTTAAAACTGTGTATGTTAATTTTAATTTAATTAAGAACTTTAATTAACTGTAAGTTTATCAAAGCGAATACCACTGTCAATGGCGCTATCAATTACACAACATTTACGATAATTCTCATACAGTACTGTACAGTATGATATAAAGTATACTGTTCTAGTGCTACACACATAAAATTATAAGAATAATATTACTTCAATCTGCATTCATCATAATCTCAACTTGATTCAGCAAAACTCTGAAGTAATTTTTCTCTTTGAGCACTCTCAACATAGACCTTTACGAAAATTTTATTAGGGAAATTAATTAACGACATACACTATAACTTACGCAACTGTTTGCTATATACTGTACTGTAGAACTCGGTTTTATTTATTTACTCCATTAGTATATCTCTACTCCAAGTATAATTTTGATTAAACGATTGCTCTGCTAAACCACGTAACATGGTTGACGATATCGACCTGCTTTGATTTCATGCTTCATTGATGTAATACAATTTCAAGAATATTCTCAATCAGAGTGACTTGCGTGAGTAGTTTTTAAATCTATTCTTTGTATATTTAACAAACAAATTTTGTACATAAACACTGGGTGAATAAACGTACTGTATAGATAGAAGGCAAAATAATGCCCCACTTCCTGCTTACCACAGTAACGTCGTACTCTGCTAAGGAATATTGTACAATTCCGCACAATAATATCAATGTCGTCAGTGTTAAATTATGATATGCGCTTATGAATACGTATAGTATTTTTTGGATAATTTCTTTGGCCAGGCCAGTTCTAATTAATTATTTGCTGTAAATACTTGATCATAATGACTTTTCATAAAGCACTTCAATCACTGCAGTTACAATATCACAATATCCTTTACAGAATAATCGGCCGAAGTTTTAGAGAAATTAAACGGACGTTATGTAAAATGATTAGAAATTTCTTTAGATATATACTTTAATGGCGTCTTATTCCTAATATTTCCCTTCAGTCCCCTGCACATTGTTTGGAGAGATTTATAACCTCTTTACTGATTAAACAATAGGCACTTTAGAAATATCATCCGCTATACACCAGGGCCGAAAGATAAAGTTATGAGGGATGGCAGATGATGGAATACTGGATGATCCTAATTATGTAGAAACAGACGATGGAATATTGGATGACCCCAATTATATTAATGATGACGGAATCCTCGATGACCCTGATTATCAAATTCAAACGTCACTGAACGATGCCGAAGTTATCGATAACTCTGAATATGATCATTTTACAGAAGCTGAAAAGGAAGAACTTGGTATCATAGATGATCAAGGCATTCTAGACGATCCAGACTACGTTCAAAGCATCAACACGGATTCTGATACTCATCTTATCAATCACCATGATAGTAATATGACGGAAGATGATAAAAGGCAGTTTAATAAAACAGAAAATAATATTATTGGTAATGCAATTACCACTAATATTAGTGATCATGATTATCCAATTGTTATTAATACCGACCAAGTTGGCCAACTTTCGGATAGTATTTCATGCAGCACAGAAATCATAGATACTTCAAATACTTCTATCAGCTATGACAGTCATTCTTATCAAAGTAATCAAACTAAAGAGATTGCTGAGCTAGGAATTATAGATGATGATTACGAAATTGCCAGTCCAAATGATGAAAATACTACTTCATCAAAACCAGATATTTTTGTCCAAGACCTGAACTATAGTAACAATGACGATTTGGATGCTGCCCCTGAAGCCAATAAAAATTTCGCAACTGTGACCAGTATCGAATGCAATTCACGTAGTGAAGATTTAAGTTCACATAAGAAGCCAAATGTTGATAGTAACGACAGCAAAAGTGTTAATCAGGTAAGCTTTCGTCCTAAGATCATAACTAGAAGAATGAGTAAAGAGGATAAAGCTAACACGGAAGGAATTAGGAAGAATACCCGAAATAGCACAAGAAAAGCCGGTGATGTCAAGGGCTGTAATATTTCTTTAACGGTTAATGATTCAAAGTTGGATAAATCATTAAATAGAATAAGATCCGAAACAATAGTTATTGATAAGAGACACAATCCGAATGTAAGCAATGACAGCAAATACGACGAAACAACTCTATCAGCTGAAAATTCTTTGCCGTCAAATACGACCAAACCCAAAAGACAAAGAAGTCACAGCGATGTAGGTGAAAATATTAATGAAGTTCTTGAAGATAGTATAGAAGAAAAGAGGAGAGAACGACGTAATACTTTAAGTAGATCGAATAATATTTCGCCCCCAAGAAGCTTAAAGTTACAGAAAAGATCACTTTTGCCTAGCAAGTTACCAGCAATGAAATCACCAACCGCGACAAGTCCGCCTTTTAATAGTAAACCTTCCATCAAAAAATCTTCTAGTGCTGTTGCTTTGCATAATGATAAAAATTCGCAGCAAAAACAATCTGCTACATCTACTTCACCAATAACTTCAGCAGCATCTCCACGTGATCGTCTGAAGCATGCCGCAAGTGCATCGCAACTACCTTCACGAGTCATTAAGACGCGAGTTGACACTAGCGATAAGAAACTAACTCCAACTAGCAATCAAAATCACGAGGAAAGTACTAATAAAGAAAATAAAAATATCAAAGCGAAAAATTTATCATCGCGCCATAGTGCTCAGGGACTTACCACTGGTAATAAAGTAAGCCCTCGTATTAGTAACACAAGTAAGTCCCTTAGCAATTCTAGTCTACTTGGTGAAAAATCAAAACGCCCTGCTAGTGCTAGTAGCTTAACGTTAGGGCGATTTAGTAGGAGTACGACCAATCTTAGCATTAAAAGTAATGCAAGTAAAGAAAGAGAAGACCTAGAAAAAGAGTTATTAAAGGCTAAAGCACAAGTAACAGACGCAAAAATGGAAGCGTCACAAGCAATTGAGGAAGCTCATTTCCTAGCTGCTAAAGCGGTCGAAGAAATTAAGTTGGAAACAGATAACCAGATTAAACAAGCCAAACAACAGGCTGAGCAAGATTTACTTCAATTGAAATTCGACGCTGACAAAGAAATATTTCAATTAACTCATCTATACAAAGATCAAAAAAGAAGTAGTCAAACTTGGCAGAAAGTTGCACATAAAAAGAATATAGCTAATGAAGCATTGGCCATCGTCATTCAAGTTTTACAGAATAAGGTAATCCCTTATAAGGATGAAAGTACATTCCTGCTCTAAAATGTAATCTGTTCTCAAATTGACCTTTTGAAAATAACCTGTATTCAACATAAAATTCAAACGTATCTGTAACAACCGGATATACTTCATTACGATATGGATATAAAGAATTTAGAAAACAGTGTGTGACATTTTCATTGCCGTATAGACCTTTATTTGCATATAATGCTGTAGGTTCAAAAATAGAATACTATGTATGGTAATAACAATACTGTAGTGTTAACTATACTTGATGGAGACGAAGGCAAGATGATTGAGAGTAGATAGTGTTTATTTACAGTTAGAGTTGGGAGACGACACAGGCATAGATTAGCCTCATGGCAGGGAGATGAAGAAACGAGAGCAATACAATCTACAGTACGTGTACTTGTACGTTTAATTAATTTTATTTGGCCAGAGTCTACAGTAATCTTAAGAATGAGCTTTGTACCAATAAGTATTGTAGATCTACTGTAATGTTGCTACTGCAAGTTCAACGAATCAACAGTAAGTGATCAGTTAGATCATGTAACATTGTCAGGATAAAATTGAATATACGTGTACCTAGGCTGCTCTGTAGCAAGTAAGAACAGCATAATCCTTTCGTCTAAAGGTAAATTTATGTTGTACTAAGGGGATTAAATTAAATTTGACTAATAAACGGAACATTAGAAGAAGTCATACTCAAGTTTTTCGCATCCAATGTATAAAAATAGAAATTAGATCATGACATAATAGTGATATACTGTATAATCTACGGTTTTTACAACCTAGTTTGTAGACTCCTACATCATAGGATATACGTGGGCGTATTATTGAGCAACATTTTAATTGTAGCAACAGGTTGAGTGCATATAAAGACAATACGCAAACCTGAATGAATTATATATTTCTTCCTTACATAGATTGATGCCCTGGAAAGAAAAGTTTATATAGAAATTAAGGATGGGGAAGAACACTTATCTGAAATTGATAGATTGAAATTAAGACAACAGGAACAAATTAAACGTTTGAAAGAAAGTAGAATGATAATGTTGAAGGATGTTAACGTTCAACATGCTAAGAAAATGGCATCCCTAGAAGCTAAGCATCAAATCTCAATGTCAGGTAAATCTGATAAATCTGATAGTAAATGCAATATAAGAAACTTATTTCTCAACCCTAAATGCTAATCATATTCTGTTGCAATACGCAGAACTAAAAAGAGCTCACAGTAAGGAAATCGTAAGAATGGAATGTAAAACTAATAAATTGCAGAAAGAACACGAAGAACAAATTCAACATATCCAGAATGAAAACAAAGAGTCACGATCAATTCTAGAGGTACAATAATATCAAACTTTATAATAATTCTGATCTGTTTCCACGTAAGACAAATGCGACGTCTAATGTGGCTTACTGTTACACTTTCAATATACATTACTCGTAAATTTTACTATTGTGGCGGTGTGTTTTTGAATATCATGACGTAACGCATCATCTGAGAAAATTACTAAATTTGTAGGATGAAAGCTTCAACCTTTGTAACGAAATTGCGACGCTGAAGGATAGAGTGCACGAGCTAGAATGTACCTCTAGTATTGATCACGACCAACGAGTTCAGGTAAGCCGAAATTTAGTCAAATTTAAAGTTTCTTTTGATAATTTATTAGAACGGACACATACTGTAGTATTTACGTTTCTGACCAATGTCGGCGTAGTAAATAAATAAATTGCTCAAACCTTTTAAAACACTTCCAGTTCGAAAAAGCTAGAAGTCTTTGGTTAAGCTATGCTTTACTAATTTATTAACGAAATCTTTATGACTTATAATCTGAAAAGTCTCGATACTTACTGTAGTAATATCACAACCTATAGGATGCTGTAGAAAAATGTGAAAACATGCCGAAAGAATTAGAGAGCTTAAAAGCTGTTTTAGAGTTAAAATTCCAAGAAATAAATCGACTTAAAACTGAAAAGCAAGAAATCGCTAGTCAGGTAAATTTAAATTAATTGACTTGAGTGGACGCTTCCCTTTGCTGATGCACCCTTAAAATGAATCATTCTAAATATATGCCATCATATAGACTTGAGTATTGTTTATTTATAATTGTTTCTTATTTATAATTATGAAGCAGCATTACAGTATTCAATAAGCCAGCAATACACTTCTACTGAATTTAAATTTATTTTATAGTGGTAATAATCACATAGTAGAGTATCATATTTCTATTCAGAGACTTCATCCGACAATGCATTAATTCTGCTCTTATTGTTTTAATGTAATCATGTACTCGTATACTAATGACAGACAGAGCAGAATAATAATATATAGTTGCCATGATATCTTAAGTATTACGAATATTAGGAATATCTGTTATGTCATTATAACAATGACGCTCTTTTTAATGCCTTCTCTTGCTAGTCTGACTTCTACCCTTATCATGTAATTGTTTAAACTAGGACTCTAGTAAATCTAACAATAATTCTTTTACTAAGAGTTAGTATCAGTTAGTAGGTTACATTACTCATTTAGTGATCGTACTAACCTAGAAAGACGTAATAAGGATATCCTATACTAATTAAAAGACAATCTTACTATGATTTTGAGGACTTAATCCGTTGATAACGCACTTCTTATCAATTTATATAAACATACAGCTGTTATTGAACAATCAAACGAAAAAGTATATAAAAAATTTGGAGCTACGAAATGAGGAACTGGAAGCGATAGTCAATGCAAAAATACGAACAGAGAAGTAAGCCTCCATCCTCTATTGTAAATCAACTTCTTATAAGCCCCATAGTATGATTCATAAATAAAAAATTGTTCTTAGCGTGTATTATTTACTAATGAAAGAGCGAAAATAATGTTCTCGTATCTATACTTTAACTTGTATGTGGAGCATGTACAGGCGTCTACGCCTAATAGATACTTTAAATGGTTGTTATTCTCTTCAATTATATCTATACTCTAACTGTAAATTAATATTAGATGTAAAATGTATATTTTTGGTACCCCATTTTTTGACTGTGCGTTATGTTATTAACACCATCAATAGCCAAATCAACTTAAAATATATCCCACTTTAATAAATATTTCTTCTTTGCATCAAGGAAAAATCTCTCAGCTATAACTATCTTACAAGAAGAACTGAACACCTTGAAGCGAGAAAGAAATCAGCTTCGTTTGGAAATCGAGCAATTACGATGGAAAACTAAATCGGCTTGAATAGTTGTATTTCTAAACAAATTAATACTAAAAATCGTTTAATTATCTATTTTATCACTACATAAACTAGACAAGTGACTTGACAAATTCTTAGAATGTGCTACTTTAGTATAGTTCCATTTCAATATTCGTGGTAACCAAACGAATCAATGTATATGACACCCTATGTAATGCTGATATTCAGTCATTGCCTTGCAAAATGTATTCCCTTTTCTAGCAAGCTGTGACATCTCAACATTCTATGATATCACATTAGAACAACATGCCGATATTTTTACATTAGCATTCTTACTTTTATCTCTTTTATTTATGCTTAAACTTTGAAATCTTATTATTTCTTCAACTCATGTCAGTCTTTGTTCAGTGTACAAAATTTTTAATTTTTTACAACACTTCGAAATGGTTCGTTGTTGCAGATTACAGATAAATCTTTATTGTAAATATTGATATATTTTTTCTGAAATTTAGCATTATCATTGCGCGCATTCGTTGGACATGCATGAAAAAATTTTTCGTAACCTAAAAGTTTATTTCCTCCATACAGTACCATACAATGCTTCTGGTAATGGATGTGATACTACTAGACAACACAGACGTGTTAGACTCCAAAATAGTCTAAAATTACTTTACTAACCGGCCTTTAAGTGATAACTTTCATTACTGAATATTTTGCTCCATTGTGACTGAAAACGTTTGCTATGCAAGCGAAAAGTTTATTCCTTGTAGTACATTACATAGTATATGACATAACTGTCATATCTTACGTATGTCAAGTGATTTTACTCCTAGTCTATTTATTTAGGACGTAACAAATACAGTACTAAAACAGATTTGATTCTTAGAATCTTAGACCAGATTTCTATGACACATAGAAATTAAATCATAAACGAGCATTATACATACCAAATCCAGACAACACATTAAATAAAGGAAGGATGGTTAGAGTTCCTGTTGTGTTGTATTTCTATCGTTCCATGAAAATATTACCGTATATTCAACCCCGCAATCAAATATATTTTTTAATCCAAAAGAGAAATTTCAACAAAAATTAATAAAGTATATTCGCTCAAAATTACGTACTACCTATATACCAAACACTATTTCAACTAAGTCCTAAGAAATGTAATGCATTGAAAGCTTTAAATTAATGTGTTACTATTTAACACAAATACAGTGTTTAAGTGCACGCGTCAGCTTGACAGTGATGGATTTATGTGCAGAAGGCTGATAGTTAATTCTATTCGTGTAACTGATAGCAGTTACGTTTTCCGATTAATTGAAAAAAATCGATTTTGTAACCAGTTAAGGTACTTATACGTTTATATACTCATTTCTAGTTGTTATTACACTAGCAATGGACTAAGATCTAAGCTCTATTTTGTAAACAACATCAATTTCATAGCTCATTATGATAAATGTATCATTTATACGAGTATAGATGTCAAGCTTTAAACACAAATTTATTATTATAGTTATCACTTTTCATGCATTGCTAAAGAGTGGCCCTATTTCGGAACATGAATTAGGGTTATGGCTAGAAGAATCAACATTTGCATCCAGCCTAATAATTTATTAGCTAAAGCAACAAATATATCACTATCAGAAAGATAACTTAACCAGAAATTCTCATACACCCACTGAAAATCTGTGGTGGTATCATACACCCGTATACAAACATACATTTTAAAGTAATAAAATGAAGCTATTTTAGACACATGAGTAAGTTGGATCGGTCAATTATTGTTATAACATGAAATTGCGACTACAAAATTACTCGTACGATAAAATCAACTTACAGGTATTTCTAATTTAATATTCCTGACCTAGCTTTCTCATTAACTAATTCTTACTATTTAAAACAATTTATAATGGCCGAACTTCAAAGTGTGGACGTTAATAATATTTCTTCCCATAGAATTAGTGATAAAATAGATACATTATATACAATTGCTGCCTGAAATTTAAAGAATTTATTATTGTAAAATTTGCCAGAAACACATGCTTTAATAAATTATTTCTACCTTGCTACTTTTGTACTTTAATACTACTTTGAAAGTTATAGATGCAAGTTTTTCACATCAAGGGCAGTTGACTTGGCCTTGGCGTAATTTAAATAACCAACAAGGCTATTTGTACTATATCTGTAGCTTACAGTAGTACAGCAACTTTGTTCAATAAATATCATTACAATTAATATAATTCATTTAATTCAGTGGCTAGCCTTCAACTACTAAAATATATAATAAAATGACTGTAAAGATATCACATTTTGTTGCCGTTATATAGAAAAAATACGATACTGTAAGGCTATTTTTTTAAATTTGCAGTAATTTCTTTGTTGTTAAAGCGACTATACCGCAATTACGCATTGAAGTTTTACCTATGTGATGGAAATGACAAAAACACACAAACTAAGAATTTAATGAAATAGAATTTATTGGAAAATTACCTAACGTGCAGGTTATATTATCGTACAAAGAAAAGGAATGTTTTTTAGAACAGCCGAAGAAATACAAAAGAAATCAATACAGAACTGATTTTATGTCTACGATTTTACGGATACATGCTTTAAATAGTACTGTATACTTGTATTACAGAGTTAATAAAAGATATTACTATTGCATGTCGACAAATTAATTTCAACCAAAAGTAATTATAATTTAAGGACAAGGCTAATGTAAGGATTCTACCAGCAACCTAATCAATTTAAACGGTCATCATTATCACAGCTATTCCTATTGATTTCAAGCCAAGACTAAACTAATGATATTAGAGTGAAAGACTCTACACTATCAGCATGGATGCAACACATTGGCTGCAAAATGGTTTCTATAATGATATATTGTTATCTTTTACATATAATTAAAGATTACTAACACAATAACACACATCCAGTATGTCAAAAACAATATGAATAAGAAACCTTACTGAAATAGTCTCCTAAACTCACGATATCATTCAACACTCGTTTTAAATTTACGGCACCCATTGATCAGCTTCCGTCACAACAAAGCTTTTCGTCCAACTTGTACAGTAAATCATATATTCATGTTGTATCAGTAGTGTTTGTTTCATTTTTACGAAAGTTGCTATATCCGATAGTACTAGAAAAGGTTATTTTTGGTTAAATCAATATAAATTTATTGCGTTCAACACAGTTCAGAGTGTTTTCATATCAAATGTAGTGCAACTTCCTGATGTATAGGCCTATACATAGGCCTCAGCTTTTTCTGACCGATTTTATTCATTCATTAATTAATCTTATATGCGGACAAAATAATGATAGACTGTTTCTGCCATAGTGTCTCTCGAAATCATGAACTGCTTTTTTAGTAACGTAAGATAAGGACGATCATTCCTTAAACTAACATCTGTAAATAAGAATTGTCAAGTGCATTTCTCTACGATAGTACTGCAGTATCTAAATCTGGAATTGAAAGCTTACATAATGAATTAGCTAAGCATTTTGGTGAAAGTTGAACTCAGTATTTATCTCGCCATAAGTAATACAGTTACTCTACTCGCTGTAAGATACGGTAGTTTTCAGAATTAATGTCAATTACTAGGAGTAGAGGAACACTTATTCAGTTTATATCTTATAAATTAATATAATGCAATCTTGTTAGTATCATATGGTAGAGATCAACATTATATACACGTAGCCGCCAATTTACACGAAGGAAGCGGATAATCAATTAACAAGAATCTGATCTGGTAGATTATATTTTCGAATTGTAATGAATTTATTAACACAAGACGAAATTAGAGGATAAAATGCACTCCGTAAGTTTAATTACTAACAAAGTTGTAGATCTTGTTGTTGTTTATGCCAATAAAATTGTGTACTAGACTATTATTAACTAACATCTCCATAATTAGGTTTATTAATACAAGCGCTACTGAAGATATTAACAGGATTTCACAAAAGCTACCAACGATCAAGTTTAAAGATATCGGTTATATACGGAGAAATTACAACACAGATTTAAAATAACATCAGTGGGAAAGCCCTTAGAATTATAATGAAGCTGTCATAGATTGTTATTGTTGACATAAAATATCTTAAAATTAATTACTCTTTCAAGTGTAAACAAATAAAAAGACCTAATTGATACATGCATTGTTTAGCTACCATCAAAGTAGATCTATTCTGACGTCAGATATAAAACAAACATTTTTTTAGGTCTGCACCTTAGGAGTTTTCGAAGCTGTTATTACTGATTGATGAGTGACAAAGAGAAGCTTGTATATGATAGGTTTCGTGAATTACTTGAAAAAAATCTATCAAATTGTGGCATGCCATTTACATAATTTACACGTTAAATTGTGCTAAATACAGCACTTTCCTTATAAATCTTAAGTCAGCTTTGCGTATATTTGCTTACTACGTTACTATCGGGATTATTATTTCTCTTGTAATGCTTTTAAATCTTTAATAACTATTTACCAACAATATCTGGATTATCATGACATTTTCTGCTTTAAAAGAGCATCTAAAAAATTTTATTACTACTTCTTTCAGCAAACACAAAAATATTGTACATCATTGGCATATATCTTTATATATTTATATTATTTGAACTAGCTAATCTTACACATCGAACCATGCGTTATCTGAACTATTTCAACATTTATAAATTGTGCGTATATTTCCGCTTTTGCTGCTAGCTGATTTAAAAGCAGTGGACAGGATATAGCTTTAGATGTCATTAGCAATTAAATAAACGAACCAACTAATTCTTATCGTCGTAATGTTTCATTTTATAATGCATTACACAGTCAGAGACTAGTATATTGGTATTCAATAATTTTCTATTCAGAAATTTTATCGTCAGGTCGTTTATTAAATATCTAAAGATTTTATGTTTCAGCTGTGAGGCTGTAGTGTATAGGCTTTACACATAACTACTATAATTAGCTGAATCATTACAACATAAATACTAATTGGACCTGAACTATAAATATTACTTTGCGAAAATTACGGGCCACAATCCTAATGC